AGGTCAAGAAGGAGGAATAAACAAGAGGGATCGATCCTCTGGTGGTGGTGGAGGTACATTTGTGGTGAGAGGAACCGACACGCCTTTAATAATAGCTGGAGGCGGAGGAGGGATAGATTCTGCAGAGTCAAGACATGCAGGATGTGACGCCAGCGCAAAGACAACAGGGCATTCTGGATATAAGTCATGGTCAGGAGGGAGCAATGGGCATGGTGCTCAAACTGCTGATGATGGTAACTCAGGTAGGATAATACTTTGATGATCCCAAACCCCTCATTAATGAATGAGTTAATGTATGCTTCAAATTTAAATCATCGGCCCTAATCCCACACAAAACAAAAAAAGAAAGAAACAACAACAACAACAAAACCCTAAGACTTCCTGGGAAGAGGACCAGTTTATATCTCCAGGCATATAAAAGGTAGATATCAAAATCTTAAACTTAATGGATGGCGGCTCGATAGAATTAAATTATATACAGGTTTGAACACGCTGATATGGGTACATTAAGGATTTAATTAAAAAAAGGGGCGTTTCGTTTACTTAGAATTTACTCCTCATTTTGTTGTTTTATTTGTTCTCAGGTGGTGGTGGTGGCGGGTTTTATTCCAGTGGAAGAAATGGAGAGAGTTTCAATGGAACCAAGGGAGAGGGCGGAGAAGGTGGTGATGGATTTCTTCAGGGAGGTGAGGGTGGGAGATCTGTGGATCACAATATTGTTGGTGGGTTTGGTGGAGGAGGTGGAGCTCATGGATGGGGAGGAGGAGGAGGAGGAGGAGGAGGGTACTCTGGGGGAAGTAGTGGAAGCGGTAGTCATGATAGCTGTGGGGGAGGGGGTGGCTCTTACAACGATGGAGAAAAACTGAAAAATGAATGTTGTTATAACAAGGCTGGTCATGGTCAGGTGCTTATCACGTTGCTGTAAAAAAAAATCGACTACGTGTTATCATACAAAGTGATTATGAGATAAGGGTTCATATCTTTTTGATTGGCAGCCTAATTGTTCTTATTTATAGCCCAAAGGCAAATATAGCTCTTAGGATATGAAATAATGTAGAAACTTTGTTTTTCAGAAATAGAGTCTCACACGGTATACTTTTTCACTAAGGTCACGTAGAGAAATGACGTAATCGCATGGACGAGACATCCCAAAGTGCAATCTTACGAAGAAATTGCAGTGGGTAACAAATTCCCAACGATTATATCTTCTGAAAGCTTTGGCTGATTGTTCCTACTCCTTCTTTATTTCAAATCTTTACTGACCCTCCTCTGCTGATCCTCAAGAAGATTAGTAAAGATTTGAGTTCCAGCAGAAATGACTGACCCCTGTCACACTGGATTAGTTTTGAGTCAATGTTTTTCGAACGCAGCTCTGATTTAAGGGTTGAGCATGGGTTATCAGATGGTGAAAACAATTTTTCAAAATCTCTCCCGAAGTAAGTAGAATTTGCACGCTGCCATAAAGACAGGAAAATGCTAAAGTTTCGGACCAAAAGTAAGTAGAAAGTATTTTATTGAACAGCATTTGTTAAAAAGCATTGCTAGTTCTATGGAATGTTCCTCTTCGATGTTTGAGTTATACCTATTGCATAAGTTTTTCTCTCTGTTTCTTTGATAATAATGATGATGATGGTAATAATTTCTCTCTGTTTCTACAATAATAATTTGTATCACCCTTTGACAGTGTGTTTTAGGTAAAGAATGTGTGTTAGTTAGATATACTAAGATAAACACGAAGATGTCTCTACCAATAGCCTAGAAGCCTTTAAAACTTTCGCTTAAAAACCTTTTCCCTGACTTCTCAGTATTTTAGCCTTCAGCAAACCAGCTATACCACGGCCTCTTACAGTAAGCTATTAATAGTTGATAATCAAAATAATTTATTGTAAGGATTTGAAATAGAAGATAAGTGTCAAACGGTTTCATGAAAAGGTGGCAATGTAGATTTGTAGTGGGATATTACTTACATTTATTATAAACAAAATGTTGCTTAGTTTACAAACATAAGTTTTTACATCACATTATTAACTTAAATTCAAAACTTTTGCTGCATCGTAGATGACACTGGAAACTTAGAGCAAAGCAATTAATAAAAATGTTGTCCAGTAATTCGTTTGTGAATTTCTTGACTTCAAAGGTAATGATCTTTCAATGAAACTATTTCATATTTCCTTAACTTCGATGGATATGATTTGCGTTCACAAAATCCGAGGATTTTTTGAGAAAAGGTAGAGGTATACAAATGTTAGAAAAAAGAAGATAAGCTAAGAAACAAATAATAATGACGATAATAATAACAATAAAAACGAAGTGAAAGAAACACAGCTAAAATAACAGATCCAATTAGGGGTGGTGGAGGATGGGGGTGTCCTTGTCACACATCGGAGGAAAGGGTCAAAAAAAAAGATCATCGCATCATTTAAAGACCAGAAACAAGAGAGCCTTTTATCAAGTGTTTAGGAATCCAAAACTGGTGCAGGTGTCTTCTTAAAAATATTTAGAACTGAAACTTCTGAGGAAAATTTCATTACAAAGCCTTGGGGAAAATTTGTTTATCTCCTTGCGTCTGTAAAGGTAGACTTTTCAGAACAAAGTGTGGATCTTTATAATCCCATCTCAAACTTTTCTTCACTGGATACTGAATAATGCGGAAGATATTTCTATCGTATGAATCACTCACGGACCTGCCGAACTTTCTGCAAGTGGTTTTTTAAGCCTCACTCGCGGTAAATCATTCATAAGAGATTAATTATGGGTGGCTAAGTTCACGAAATACCACATGAAAGGCATAATAAAACAATAAGGCTCTTAAGGGCACTTATTATCCACACACTTTTCTTTCTTTCATTTTTTTCTTTAGGGAGTGAAGGGAGGGGGGAATAAACAATAAAACAAAAACACGAATTTTCTCACTCTCATAAAAAATGGTTGTTAAAGTTAAAGGCATTGACGAAGAAAGAACATTGAAGGTGGCAGTGTTGTTCATTGATAAACATTGGTTGACATTGATAAATGTTTTCGTCTATACCAATCACCTGGATTTTCTATCAACTCTTTTGGCCCTTTTTTTTAAAGAAACTTTTCATTAAATGATTCTTTTCATTAAACTTCTCAGTAAATGAACACCGACGTGAGGTCAAACACTCGTGAAACACCAATAGTTAGAATCTACGACAGTATGCAGACTGATTGCTTTTCAGAGTGAATGCCCATTACGTCAAAGAAAAGAAGAATTTGGCAGATGCCAGATCCCATTTTATAGCGCCATTAGTGTTATGAAATACGATCCCACATTCGGTGTTATGTTATCAAAGACAATTTGAGGCACTTCTTATGAACAAGTTATTTAATCTCAAGACTCTGCCACACAGTTATCGTCAACATCATCATTGTCATTATTCAACGCATGGCAAAACCAAAACTAGTCGTACTTGAATCCAATCCACCCATCTGATCATTTTTTAAAGCAGTCGATAAAAACAAAGATTTAATCCTTTTTCGTGACTTAGTATCTTATGTCAGGTTCGCACTGGTGATAATGATTTACAGAAAATAAGCCTAGCGACTAGGGAGGTTAAAATTGTCGTGCAAACTCGTAGGGATGACGACGACATAATGGCGATATCTCTATGAAGCAAAAGGGAACTACGCTTATTTTAATATGTCTGTATGTTCACACCATAAAAACATCGACATACAGTTTTAACCCTGCTATGCCTTCAGGTCTTTGTCGTTATATCTCTAGTGTGAAATTGGCTCTATGAATCAACAGGCCAGCGCCGAGCTGCACATGATAACATCACTGATTAGCACACTGATTTGGCTCGTCTTTAAACATATTATTAGCTGCATCTCCTGAAAGCCAATTTTGGAAATTTTCCTTTGGTTCTGGCTTCACCCGCTTGCGCTCAACAGCAGGCGGGGCTTCGCTGCAAGTAGATAATTCACTCAGAACAGATGAATTCCTAGATTGTCTTTCAAGCGCTTCTGTAGAGACTACAAAAGGAGATAAAACAGAAAGAAAGGTTGACTTGGATTACTCGTGTCCCCGTTATTCGGTTCCCTTGCAATTTTTTGTTTGATTACAGTGGAAACCTGGCGAAAAAAGCGGTTCATTTTCACCACTGCGCTTTTGAATGAGGAAAAATCGCTAATTTGCGATTTCCTTCCCTACCACTGCCAATGATTATCGCAACAGCCAGTCATAATTCAGGAACAGGATCGTTTTAATCCTCCGAGACAGCGTTCAACTTTTTTAGCCGTTGGTAAGAAGAATGCCAGAAGTGCCGGACCCATCTTTACATGCATTTATAATTTCAAAGTTGATATATTAGCGGAAAACGCCACAATCTCTTCCTTCCATTTCCTATTCTATTCGTTTCTCTGTTATTTCGCTTTTAATAACCCCACTTTGCTCCAAAATTGTGGTAGCAAGAAAACAGAATGAGGCGAGCTTTATGAGTTTTCAGTAGGTAAATAAAACGCATGCGGTCTCACCCTCTGGAAGTCGCCCGACGGAATCGTCCTTTGCTTTTGAACTCTCTTGTACTCTCTTCATCTTTTGAAACTCTTCCATTAATTTCTTCCTGGCTGTTTTAAGTGCGTTGTTTTCAGAGCAAAGCTGGGCTACCTTATTGCTGTAAGAAAGTGTAATTAATTTTAGCTGTCTTAAAAATGAACGCTACTTTTTAAAACATCTTTTTTTTGTGCAACATTCCTCTTTGAACCAAAATTAAGGAAATGACAAAAGTTTCGAAAATTGGTTCTGGTTTTCAACTTTCAAGCATGTGTAATAACCAACACTTAGCAGAAATCTCTCTAAAGATTTAATTGCTGTTTATTTGCCTCGTGGACTCAGTTCGAGATTGCGATGGATGACCTTGCTACAATAAAGACGAAAACAGTTCCATGCATAGAAAGAAGCAAATGAAAAGTCAACTAACAAACAAAATACCTTGCTTCTGTATTGAGTAAACTTAAAGTTGATTTCTCCTTTTCAAGTTTTTTCACATTTTCTTTCAAAGTTTGCGTTTCAGTTTCGAGTTTTCCAAGCTTAGCCTTGAGAGAATAAATAGCCACATTAGACACGACTCCTACTTCATTGTTCTCCTTATCGTTGGACGCGACAGGTTGACCCCTGGAATTGAGAAAAAAAAGTGTAAACAACTCTTTTAATAAATGAAGATGTCATAAGCGTAGGACGAAGGAACGGTTCTGAGCCTCGATGAAGAATCGATCCACAGACCTTCGGATTCCGCGCTAAAACGCTCTCCACGGATACACAAAGACTTCACATTTCATACGTAGAGCTTTCCAGCGTGAGTTGAACTTTTTAAGAATAGCAGACCGTGAGGATGACATAGGCAAATGATGACGTTGCTTATTGCTTACAAGTATAATTTCTCAAGTGAATTTAGAGATGAGCGCGCCCTGATTGATCTAAGGTCTCTGTAATACTAACTAATTTTTGAAAATGGCCGACGATTGAAAATTCAAAAGTTGTCAATAGAAGTCGGTAGGCGGCGGAAACCCGCTGGCTGTTAGACCGTTTGGCAACGGCTACTTCGTGAATTGCGATCAAAGACAAAAAAAAAAAAAAACTTTTGAACTGATTCTAACATGAACATCTGTCTGAGAGATTTTCTCATATGTCCCAGAATGCTGGAAATTACTTCTCAGAGATTTTGAAATTTTTTTTTCCTAAAGGAACTTGCCCCAGGATACAACTGAGAGAACATGTTGTTTTGCAAAACGCCATGCTTGCTATGCAAGGATTATTCAAGTCAGCCACCAACTCAGTTCAGATCATACACTGACCTACATTTTTTTTCTGCTCAGTATGGCAACCAAAGCGAGCGTACCTTGGAAAGCTGGTGACTAAGTTATGCTTTATTTTAAGAAGAGCTTACCTCATTATACTAATAGTATCATCTGTCTCAGGTTCCCTCAATCTCTTTATCTCCAGTTTCAGCGATCCGACTTTTTCTAGGCCCCATTCCACCTCATTCTTCAGTGACTTCGTTTCATTGTCGTATTTTCTTTCAATTTGTACAAGTCATATTGTAGTGACTGAATCTGCATGTTCTTTTGTGCTAACTCGATTCGCAAAGCTTCCATTTCTTCTTGAATTTTCTTTACATCTTGCGCTTTGTGGATAATTGCTGCAAATTGAACATGGAAAGAAATATTGGCCAGTTCGTATCTCAATTAAAGCGTCATGGGCTGGTTTGTCATTCTGACGTAGGTATAAGGGCACGCCGACAAACGCACGCGCGCTACGACATAGATAATTGGTTTGCTTTGTTGGGATAATGTCAAACAATGGGGAACCTTGAGTAGCTCGTCATTGCGCTTGCGTAGGGTCGACTCTTCTGAAAAAGCACCTTTTAAGAGATTGCCAGACTTACCACAACGCAGCTAGAGAAAACATCACAAAACAACAACTTATATCTCACTACCTAGGTTTTAAATGGCTGTGAATATATGAAAATCGTACATGTGAACTGCGGATAAAGACGTGAATGAGAAAGCGACAATCGCAGTGATGAATGCTACATACGCAGCAGTAAACATGAGGCCTGAAGAAAAATTCAGGCCTCTAGGGGACTTGAACCCACGACCTCTGCAATATCAGTGCTGTGCTCTACCATCTGAGCTAACAAGCCATTATGTTGGTTCTATATAAACCCGTGAAGTGATGAATAAATGATTGTGAATATACGAAGAACATATATGTGAACTGCGGATAAAGACGAGAATATGAAAGCGGTCTTCGCAGTAATGAAAACTACATAAGCAGTAGTAAAAATAAGGCTTGAAAAAAATTCAGGTCTGTACGGGATATGAACCCATAACCTCTGCGATAACGGTGCAGTGCTCTACCAACTGAGCTAACAAGCCAACTGGGAGCTGGTCATTATGTTGAGGTCAGTAATGTGAAAGCAAGAATAGAAATGAAGGATGGCTCAGTCGTGAAAGAGAGAAAGCCTAAAGGTTTTGTAATTTTACCTTTGCTTGGTGATAAGTCTTAACAATTTTCACTTGAGTTTCAGAGGTAATCCCGGATTGTAATGTTGTTCATGTTTTTTCTTCGCTTTGTGATTGGTCCAGTTAAACTTGTACCACCGTCTCGACCGATCAGATGTAATCCCAGAAGCGATTGCAGCCTGGTCTCTCACGTTTTCCCGCTCTTCAGACAGTTTACCTATTTTTATACGCTGAACTCTCAATAGCTCCTCTGACATTCACCTTTGTTCTGATTGGCCGTAGTAATAACTTATGGGCCCGTTTTAGGACACTCTTTGAATATGTACTCTAACACAATAACTGTACCTTGTTGTTCATCCACTATAGCCTTAAGTCTGTTGCACTCTGTCAAATACTTGTCGATCGTATCCTTAGCTTTCTTCTTAACAGCGTCACACTCTTTTCTGAGCGCTTCGATTTCACTTTGATCTCCAGCGTGCGTAGAATTCTAAAGAAAGGGAAAAAGAGTACTCGATAAATACAAAAAGTTCTGTATATCAAGGGGTGGCAATTCCTGACATTATCTTGGAATTCCTACCGCATCGTTAAGCACAAAAGATACAAAAATATGTATATTGAGACATTTAAAAACTTAGCCATAGACAACAACAGCCCCCTTCCCCCAATCCGCAAGGTTTTAAAAAATGTGTAAAGAGGTTCTTGGATCGAAGTTTCTAGCCTTTAGAAACAAAAAAAATTATTTCTTTCCCACAACTTAGACAATTTTTGTACTCTCTTTCCGAATAGATGAATTGCATCTCTTGAAATTGATAGCATTTTGTAGATGAATTGCATCCCTGGAACGGAACGGAACTACAGGAAGTGGTTCTTCCCCTCCCTACGTCAACTTGACTTACTTGTCCAGTTTCTCTTATTTGGGCGAGGTCTGAACGAAGTTGGGTTAGTTCTGCATCTTTTTTGGCTCTACCTTCTTCAAGTTCTTCAATTCGTCGAAGATGCTCCTCTTCTTCATCTGCAGAGACCAAAGATAGAAATAGTTTCTTTTCAAAGCGAAATTTGCAATGAGTCAACCATGATTGCAAGGACATAGAAAGGACTCTAGAAATGGTTCCTTTTCAAGGCGACATTTGATGTAATGCGTCAACCTCTAATGCGAGGACATAGAAATCACTCCAAAGATCCCTTGAGTTGCACGTCCGAGCGAAAAGGCATTCTCTCTCCCGCGTATATTGCTCTCTCGCGCGCGTGTTTCTCGCCTTCTCCGCGAGCGCCTGCTTCACAGGCTGCCTTTACTACACCGTTATTGACAAAGCACTGCATTGGTACGAGACATCACTGACAACAAGAAAGCAATGAAACATCGGTATGCGCAAGGGAGCCTGTTTTGGCCGACCACGCACGATCATCTAATGAGAATCATCACGGTTGAACAACAACTAGAAATGACAAAACTTGGCAATAACTGAAAAAGAACCTACCCTGCATTTCGTCTATGATGGCCTTCAGGCGATCTGACTCCTTAAAGTATTTCTGAAGATTTTCCTGGGCTTTTTTCTTAGCGGCTTCGCACTCCTTTCTCAAGTTTTCAACCTCAGTGGAGTCCATGGCATTCGTAGTATTCTACGCATAACAAAAAAACGAGATCATGTGTTTAAAATACAGAAACCCGTTTTGCTTTGGTTTTAGAGTCCCTTGTAAGATTGCAATATCTTTTATATTAATAGGTTGAACTGCACCTAAAAGCTCCAAGAGAAATAGATACAAAAAGTGTAATTGCCTGTTTTTCGAGGTGGGTAAGTCTGGCCACAGTAGTCTCCAGTTCATACTCGGCCTTGGCCAGCTTTAGCTGGTAATGTTGGATGCTTTGTTCACAGTCCGTGATGTTTTGGGAGGCAGTAGCAAGTTTCTCCTCCAATTCTTTGATTCTGTCGTTCTTTTCCGCGTAGCAGTCTTCACTCTCTTTCACTTTCAAGGCGCTGATCTCACGCAATTGTTCCAGGAGCTTCTCTTTCTCGTCTTTGAGTTCTTCGACGATTTGGGCCATTTCTTCCTCTTGTTTATTCTTCTCTTCTTCAAGGGCCTTTGCTTTTGATTCAGCTTCGAGGAAAGTTTTTTCTACTTGACCTTCTAACAGTTGGTTCGTAGCTTTCTCCTTTTCCAGTTCTTGGCGAAGCTCAGTCATGGAGGCAATTTCTTCCATCCACTTTTTCGTTTCTTCCTCAAGAAGAATAGTCTTGGATTTTGCAAGACTTTCCCATTTCTCGCTCTCACTTGTTAACTCTGCAACTTGTTCCATTAATGTCGCACTCTTTTCTTTCTCCTTCTCCAATTCTTGGCGCAATTCATTTTCTGAATTCATAATAGCAGAAAGTCTTCCTTCCATCTCCTCCTTAGAAACGCTCGCACACTCATCGGCAAGAACCCGACGAAGTTCCGATTCGGCTGCATCTCTACTTCTCTCTGCAATAAGAAGCTTGTCTTCGAGCTCAGACACAATCTTTTTCTCCTTCAAAAGTGATTCTCGAATCTCGTCGATCTCTTGATCTAAAGCGTTCTTTTGACTCTCAGATGAGGTCGTCAACTCTTGAAGTTTTTCTTCCAACAATTCTTTCTCCTTCAAAGCCTTTTCAACCCTGGTGTTCAGATCTATCTTTTCAGCCTCTACGTTCTCCAGGCTTGATTTGGTAAACTCTAGTTCACTCTCCACCTCTAGAAGCTTGTGCTGCATATCCTCCAATTCTTTTTCGAACTCTTCAGTTTTCGATGTAAGCTCCTGTTTTTGAGACTCACTTTTGCCATTCTGGGTCTCCATCTTCTTATTTACTGAGATCATTTCTTCTTCTAGCTGTTTTATCATTTCTCTAAGTTCAGCAATTTTGGCTTCTGCCTCAGTGCGGCCCTTCTTTTCCTCAAGAAGACTTTCATTCGCATATTCCAATTCACTTTCAAGCTCATTTATTTTTTCTTGGTTTTTTTGGAATTCTACGGCCATTTCAGACTGCTTCAGTTCGTTCTGTTGAAGAGCGCACCTTACCTCGGCAATTTCAACTTCTTTCTCATCTACCAAGAACGTCATATGTTCTAGTTCTTCGTGTTTCACTCGAATGGTAGAGTTCAGTTCCTCAACAGCAGAATCCTTCAACGAAATCAATCAATTAGTCCAACGATGAATCGATTGATGAAAAACCAGACAAGAATCAAACTCGTACAGAGAAAAGTTAACCTTTCAACTTGAAAAAGGAATAGAAAACGGAGTCGCCATGGTACGAATGTTTAAAAGGCCATGATAGATATTACCCAAAAAAGCCCCACCGTTTCCTTCCCCCTTGTTCGATTATGAAAAGGTTATCGCTCTCTTACGCGAAAGACTCCAATTGTTTGACATAAGGAAAAATGTATTCAGTTTAGGAGGGCTCTAGCCTGTGAGTAGGCATTCATTGACGAAAGACAATCAAAGCAGTCAACGACAACTACTGCCCAAATGCACATTGTAAGGCTGACTGATAATGAAGAGATTGATTGCTGACCCCCCTCCAAAAAAAACAAAACAAAACAAAAAAACAAACAAACAAACAAACCAACGGAGCCAGATATATTTCTGTTAAAAGTCACCTGTGCTTTTTGTTCGAAGTTACGTTGCCTTTCAATCTTAAGGTCTTCCTCGATCTCCCATAGTTTCTGCTCCATCTGGTCGATCTTGTTATCTTTCTTCTCCATTTGGCTTCGACTTTTCTTATTTTCATCCGTCAGTTTATCCACGTGCGCTTTCAGCTGAGTCACCTCAATGGAGAGTTCATTTACCTTCTTGTTTTTCTCGTTCAAAACCTGTTTGCTTTGTTGGACCTGCTGCTTTAAACTGTCGCGCTCCTCCACCAATGCTCCGTTGCGTATGTCTGCGCCTTTCAGCTGTCGGTTCTCGCTTTCCAACTCCTTCACCCGTCCTTCCGCTTTTTCGCACTTCTGTTTCGTAAGTTCAACGTTCAACTCCATCTGCTTCAACTTGTGTAACACCTTGCTGTCATCGTCACGATGCGTGACGGACAGTACGTTTTGTGAGCTGTATAGGTTCTCCATGTCACGCATCTCTTGCTTGGTTTCCTCAACTTTCTTATTGGCCGCTTCGATCCTGTGCTCCAGAACGTCTCTTTCGCTTTTCAAGAAGTTGCACTGTGCTTCCAACTCAGAAACCTACATGTAGACGCAAGAAATATGAGCCATACCATACAATACGAGGAACGTGACGATTCAGACTAAATTTGTTTCGCGGGTTTTTGTCTGTCGGTCTATCTGTCTAATTACAACAAGTACCTTAGAGACAAGCCACTTTTCTTTTTCTTTTTTTTTTTCTTTTGGGGGGGGGGGGGGGCTTTATTGAACAAGTTATTTGATCCTCGAAGTTTCCGTGAATCAAGTTTCGAGGAGCGTGTTTAGAGAAACGGTCAACTTACGTTTGAGCAGAACTGTGGCTTACCTTTTTCTCGGCTTCGGACAAATCATTTTCAAGTTCGTGCCGTTGCTGTGCTTGTACACAGATGGTCTCCCGCCTTTCTGCCTTCATCTTGTCAATCAGTCTCTGCTGGTCCATTCCACGGTTGGTATCTCTCAAAAGAGAATCTTTAAAGTGTTGTAATTCTTCAAGAAGAGATGCGTGTTCCTTCCTAAGACAATCAATTAAAGATGTGAATATTGTGGGAGAACATAAACAAAGAATGAGCAAGTAACTAAATGAATAAAGCTAAATTGATTTTAAAGCGACACAGGTTTCCTAAAATATACATTTAAGACAAATTCTCAAAATACAAAACAAATGTCCTAATCGTACTTGAGCCTTTGACCTCTAAAAAAGATTAGCATCTAATGTCTCCCCACAGTATCACCCCTGAATCAAACATGAAGGTCACGAGAATAAAGGAAATGATAACTAATTAAGAAGCTCTTGATTAATAGATAGATTTAGCCAAGCCTAAAAGCGGAGCTCGCATTTTTTTTCCCGCACGTCTCAAGGCCACAACGCCTTGCCCTGGCCAGGACTAGAACCCAGGTCGTCCGACTCGGAGCCCAATGCACTGACCACTGGACTACTGGACAAAGCCGTGGCGTTGGCGTGCCCGCGGTACAGTTGACCACACATGTTAAAAGTAGCACCTTATACGGTCGTACGGTCGTACATCCAAATTTTTTCGGCTTGATGGGTTACTACTATTTTGTTTAATTATGGGGCTACGCTCTGCGAGCTCCGCTATTAAACAAATTCTCCTTATCAGCATCCAAAGAAATGTATAGAGAACAGTATGGAGAATGTACATACTAATGTTAAGATGTGAAGGGTTAAAGGGTTTGTCGGCTAACAAAAAGTTCGTTTTCCAAAAAGAGAGAAATGCGGAATCGACTTAGAGTCCACCTAATATGAGACTCACTTCAAACAGGTTTCATTCACCTGAGTGTTTCGTGAGCTTTCTTTTCCTCTCCCAGCTCCTTAAAAAGTTCCTCGCTTTCATTCTTTGCCTTTTGCAGTTCCAACTCAGAGGCTAAGCTCCCTGATGGCTCTTTTGATAGACTTTCAGAGGTCCTCATCTCGTTCAGGTCCTTTACAAGTTTTTCGCACTTTTCTCTTTGCTCCTCCAGCTTTTCCTTGCACAAATCATAAGCTTGTTTAGACTCTACTAGCTGCAACTCTAAGCTCTCTATTTCCTGTCGTTGTTTCTCCACTTCTTGCTTCGTCTCTTCTGCCTCAGACTTTAAAATCTCATTTCGATTTTGGACATTTTCCAGAGATAACCTCAACGTATTGCATTCATCTGCAACTTCTTGAGCCCGCTCTTGTTCTGCTCTCAGTTTAGAGGCGAGCATATCATCATCTGTCTTCTTCTCATTCTGTTGATCTAAAGCCTGTTCTTCGCTTAGCAGTTTCTTATTCACGTCTTGGGATACGTTTTCAAGCTGCTTCATCACTTCGCTGAGTTGATTTTGAAGTTCTTCAGTCTGTTGTAAACAAGAAAGATCATTCCATAAATATTCCTGTGCACTTCTGGAGTCAAGACTCCGACTCAAGATCAAGATGGCTGGCATAAACTATTCTAAACCATGTATGGAAGAAGAGAGGATAAATGGATGAGAAAAAAAAAAGAATATAAGACGGGAAAGAAAGCAATTAGGTACGCAATAGATTGGTAGAATAAAAATGTCGAACTGTTCAGGTTCACCACACGTAAAACAAAAAACAAACAAACAGAAAACAGGCAAATAAACAAATCACAACGAACTAGTTAGAGAAGTAAGTAAAACAAAGCAAACAATTCGATGATCTCGCTCAGTGATAGCACATCAATGGCAGACACCTGTTACCTTCTGTTCGTGTGATGCTAAGAGCTCTGCTCGCTGCTGTAGTTCGCTCTCAAGTTCATAAATGTGTTCCTTGTAGCGCTTCACTTTCTGTTGCATGTCTAACATGTCCTTCTGCAATTCGGCGGACTGAGTAAGAAAAATATATTCTCTCTTTTTCACTGCCTGGTATTTTCTTTGTTTTTGTTTTAGAACTATTGACCTCATAATAAAAATAAACAATAATAAATTATAATAATAAAAAACAAACAAAAAAGATGTAACTGCAAGGGCCCCATCGAGGCACAGGCCCAGACCTCTTGATCCAGTATCTTGAGTTAGGGGACAATCTGACCCGTGCGTATCCAGTGTTTGAAAAAAAAAATTGGCTAAATCTACGGATAAATGCTTCAAGAAAACAACGAAAAAAGCAAAGGCAAAGACGAAAATCCAACGACAAACAAAGAGAATAAAATGATAGATATCTTATTACTTACATCAGAAATGGACTCTGATAAATCGTTTCTAATCTCATCTTTTTCTTTCTTGACCCTGACGGAAATAACACAAAATCCAAATAATAATGATGATGATGATAATAATAATAATAATAATAATAATAACAATAATAATAATAATAATAATAATAATAATAATGACGGTTCTAGAGATGTTTGCTCGTATATAAGGGATGAGCACTATTTGAAGCATTTAGTTCGAAGTAAAATTAAAGTCGAATACGGAGCATTTAAGCAAAGAGATGACGGCAACGACAAAAAATTCATTCAGCTTTTTCCACTTGTTTAATAACTGTGGGAAACAGACAAACAAACAAAAGCAAATCAAAATCAACAAGTAATTCTGCTTAGATAACACTTACTTATTTAACATTTGTTCATACTCTTCCTTTTCGTTATTTACGTTGTCGAGCTGCATTTGAAGATCAGACTAAAATAAAGAAGAAAAAATTTCACCTTTCACTAAACAGACAGAAAGTGGAAACGTTTAAATCGATTTCAGACGTGCGCAGTACATTACGTCTTAAATTAGTCTCGTATCTGGTCATATGCCGTCCATCCTAACAAGTCTTACACATGGGCAATGTTTTTCATCTGTAATGGCAATAGGTCTGAAAAAACTAGCAATACGTCTTTTCTATTCTCCTTCTATGGATTGCAATGCGACAGAGAATTTGTGCAGTTGTACGTAGGGATTGGTCTATTCAGCGCAGAGCAGAAAAGAAAGGAACCCACAGATTCGTCTGGAAGGGTATCCTTTTTAAAACTTGTGTTTAGTACCAAGAAAAGTGGAGTTAACATCGAGAAAGAAATAAAATCAAGCATTGCATTATGTGGCTCTGTCCAAAGGCGTTATCGCAGATAACAATTACTACTGATTTTCATCTTCGTTTGTTACCAAACGACTGCCACTGTCCTCAGTTTAAGCTTATCGGACCACTCACGCTCGTTAGCTATGGCGAGTGCAACTTCATCTCCTTTTTGATTTACTCCAAGGCACATAAATGTTTTGGAAAAGAATTGAAAATGATATCTGGGATTAGAATTGGTTCTTCAAGAGCATACCTTTCCAGATCTCGAACAATCAACAACAGGACTAACAAACCGAAATAACTCAAGAGCTTACCATTTTAGCTTCCATTTCCCGTTTTTGGTCAATCATTTGCTCCATCATCATGTCTTTTTCTTCGACACCGTATGAACTTATATTCCGCTGATCCTGAAGTCCTTGTATCTCTTTCTTCAGTTCCATAATTTCCGCTTCCTTTTCTTCCTTAAATTGTTTGAAGCGCGCTTCAATGTTACATTTGTCTTCGTTCAAATCTTTTCTTTGAGCCAGTTCTGTTTCTAAACGTGCAACGATTTCTTCTAAGTTCCCTTTTTGCTCGTTTACTTCTGCCAACATTCGTTTATTCTGATCCTCGTCGCTCAATTTTCCTTTCAACGTTTCCAGCTCAATCTCCAGTTCTTTCATCTTCACGGAAGCATCCTCTTTGACGCTAGACAGGCTTTCCTCCAGTCTCTCCATTTTTACACAAGCCATCTCATCCTGGAGCCCCGTCATGTCGCTCTCGAGAGTGCAGCACCTTTCCTTCCACGGTTCTAAACTTTCTTTTTCTTCAGAGATCTCCCCCTGTGCCATTTTAGGAGATGTTTCTTCCTGTTCATGACTCTCTACTAGCTGTGACTCCTGTTCAATCACCTCTGTCAGCATCCCTTCTTGTTCATCTACGCTCGCTAGCCTTTCCTCCATCTCTTTCACCTGATCTTCAAGTTTTCTGATCTTCTCTGAGGCTTCTTCCTCGGCAAACACCATCCTCTCCTCAAGGCGAAGCTTCTCCTCTTCATAAAGAGCTGCATTGGTTTCGAGACCAGCACACTTGTCTTTCCATTGTTGTAAGGCTTCCTCCAGTCTTCCTTTCTCCTTTGTAACTTCATCTAGTGATTCTTCTAAGAAAGTAAGAGACGTTTTAAGAGACGTTATTTCAACTTCGTGGTTCTCAACTTGTTGTGACTTCTGTTCAGTCACCTCTGTCAGCATCCCTTCTTGTTCGTCTACACTCGTCAGCCTTTCCTCCATCCCTTTCACCTGATCTTCAAGTTTCCTGATCTTCTCCGAGGCTTCTTCTCCGGCAAACGCCATCCCCTCCTCAAGGCGAAGCTTTTCCTCTTCATAGAGAGCTGCATTGGTTTCGAGACTAGCACACTTGTCTTTCCACTGTTGTAAGGCTTCTTCCAGTCTTCCTTTTTCCTTTGTAACTTCATCTAGTGATTCTTCTAAGCCAGTAAGAGCCATTTTAAGAGATGTTATTTCAACGTTGTGATTCTCTTCTAGCTGTAGCTTCTGTTCAGTCACTTCTGTCAGCATCCCTTCTCGTTCATCTACACTCGCTAGCCTTTCCGCCATTTTTTTCACCTGATCTTCAAGTTTCCTGATCTTCTCTGAGGCTTCTTCCCCGGCAAACGCCATCCTCTCCTCAAGGCGAAGCTTCTCCTCTTCATAACGAGCTTCATTGGTTTCGAGACGAGCACACTTGTCTTTCCACTGTTGTAAGGCTTCTTCAGATCTTCCTTTTTCCTTTGTTACTTCATCTAGTGATTCCTCTAAGTTAGTGAGAGCCGTTTTAAGAGATGTCATTTCAACATTGTGGTTCTCCTCTAGCTGTAACTTCTGTTCAATCACCTCTGTCAGCATCCCTTCTTGTTCATCTACACTAGCTATTCTTTCCACCATTTCTTTCACTTGTTCCTCAAGTTTCTTGATCTTCTCAGAAGCTTCTTCCTTGGCAAACGTCATTTTCTCCTCAAGGCAGAACTTTTCCTTTTCACAAAGAGCCGCATTTGTTTCTAGACTAGCACACTTGTCTTTCCACATTTGCAAGGATTGTTCCAGTTGTCCTTTTTCTTTTGTCATCTCATCGAGTGCTTCTTCTAAGCAAGAAATTTCCAGTTTCTTGCTTTCTTCCAACTGAACCTTTTCGTCAATGGCCTCCGTTAGTCTTCCTTCTTGCTCATTTACACCAGATAACCGTTCTTCCATTTCTTTTATTTGAAGCTCCAGCTGTCTTATCTTCTCCGATGCCTCTTGCTGACAAAAAGACTTTTCCTCCTCAGACTGAATATCTTCTTGCCTAGCGTTGGCAATTTTATTCTGTAATCGAGCCACATCGCTTTCAAGACTAGTGCACACCTTTTGCAACTCTTTCAGATCTTGATGCAGTCGGTTCCTCTCTCTCTCACTCTCCTCTAATGCCATTTGTAAGGAATCTGCTTTAATTTGAGTGGCAGTGTTACATGTCCCTGCATTTTCAAGCTCTTCAACTCTAGCGGCGAGAGCCTCTTTTCCTGCTTTGACGCTGTCAAACTCAGCTTGTAGCTCTGTTGAGTTCAGTCAATCAAATAACAAATGGTTCAGTCAGTCAATCAAACAGAAAAGAACTACGCAATAAATGTAATCGATAGTTTTAAGAAGGCATTCCAGTCACGGTAAAAATTTACCTTTGTTCTTAGCCCTCAGTTGATCTAGCGTCTTTAACATTGACATCTGAGTCTGATCAAACAAACAAACAAACAAACAAAAATGATTTATCAGCTACGAATGCATTACCAATTTATAACTTTGTTTCACACTTTCGAAAAGGGTCTAACAGTTTTCCATGAGACAATATACAAGATCTCTGACGGGGCCCATGACTATTTTCCCCTCAGATATCACTCAGGTGACAATCTTCTCAGCTCAATATTTGTCTTCTAATCTCTGGACTTCGAACCGTTCAGCATTAGTACCTGAGACTCTCTGCGTGCACTGTGTTTACTTGTGTATCGTTGTTTGTCTAACTTAATGCTTGTAATTTAGCGTTAACAACTGGGTAAAGGGTAAAAAAGCTGACGTTTAGCCACCGTCTATCTTAATGCTTGCCTGTCGGTCCTTAAAGCCGATTTGTAATTAGACTGCTTGTCAGAGAGCCGATCGCAGAAACTCATTTCAAAAAAAGTGAACTGCAGGTAAATTTTAATTTGTATTTTCTTATCTAATTCGCACATTTTCTCTCGAGACTGATAATAGTGTGAAATAACCGGGAAGTAGAGAAATAAAGAGCTGTTTTCTAAACGCAAGGTCTTCGCAAAAGAATAAACAAAAACAAAATACTCAGCAAGCAAACAAACAAACAAACAACAACAATCATACCGTAGGGGTATCGTTTCGGCCATTCTCCGTTGACATTTTTTCTAACAACGCATTACTCTCTTCCAACAGCTCCTGTTGAAATGTAAACGGACAACAAGGTAAATATGACAAGGGCCAGCAGTTCCAATTCCATTAAAGGACATACTTACGTTGTAAAAGTCTCGGGTTTCGATCGCCTCGTGAAGATCTGACCGCAGCCTTTTTACTTCACGTTCCATTTCCATGCAATTTTGGTCAGGCTAAAATGTAATAATCAGAACTGGTTATTTTTAATTAAGGGTACATCTTCCTTATGTCTCGAGAACGGGGAAAGAGAAAAACAACGCAAGCAACAACGTCGATTCGAATCTCAAGTCATCCGACTTCAATGTCAGAAGATCCTTCCAAAAAGCTGGGCGGGGCTGGTCTGAACTGGACTGAGGAAACTACATGAATAAAGGGGTAAGTTTTTAAAGAAACTGTGGACTGGACTGAGGAAACTACATGTTGAACATGTAGAAAATCAGGATTTAAGCGTTAAAAAGACAATCGTGACCTCTTTTTGGACTCAAAAAAGCCATCTATAGCGTACCACTGTAATCATAGGGCAGTTCTCAAACCTCTACGACACTTTTTTTTAATGCTGGTTATGTTTTTCTTCACATATTCAGGTCTGGTAAGCTACAGTCCCCATTACAGCCGTGTCGCCGTCATGCAATACTCTATCTTCTTGAGAAGAACAAGTTGCGTGACAAAACCAAACAAGGCTGGGAGGGGGGATCAAATGATCTTAAAAAGGCTTAGAGCCCTCCATACCTATTCATTGAACTCAAGATTGTTCTCTAATCTTATTTAGCGCAAACGTCACAAAATTTCACACTTCAAGATTAATAGCGTCAACTACAGCCTAACATCAATACCACCGCCTTGGAGATGACACATTTAGATAACTGAGAGGATTTTTTACAATGCTCAACAAAATGTTTCTCTCTTACTTCAGTCTGCATCTCCTTGTGTTCCTGTTGTCTCGTATCCGTTGTGGAGGATAAACACCTTATTGTTTGAAAGAAAGAGATATTTATGTTGGTAACAAATTTCAAGGTGCTGCTGTTTAATCTTTGACTCATGCTCACCTTCTGAGGAGAATGGTAAGGTTATAAAACAGGCTAACTGAGTAGGTGTGTAAGCGACAATCGCGGCGGCCTAACTGTTAACACGATAGACTCGGGCAAGTAGAAAGAGTTGGAAACAAGGCCAGGCCACTCTGCTGTGCTCGACATTCAGACTGGATCAAATTCGTATACAGCAGATGATTGCCGGAAAAAAAAAAAAAGACGGGAAGAAAAATCTTGAAATACCAAAAAGGAATGAATTTACAACCGCAACCTTTCAACGTTGGGTATCGCGAGGCCACCAATATTGTCTTGTTATACTCCCTCACCGAAAAACACTACAGTTCCTTTAAAAACTTACTCCTCTTAATCCAGCTACAACGAGGACTCGAACTGAAACATTTTGATCCAGGTTTGTGAGCAAGAACCCTTAGACAAGCCCGTCCCTCTCGATGTCGTTTTGATGGCATGCAAGTCCACTTATTGCTGGGCTCTTTCATTTTGCTTTTCTGCTGGAACTTCAAGTGGGAGTCAAAGAAAGAAACCATTCCCCTCAATTACGTTGGCGATCAGGATTAATAGAAACTAACCTTTTCCCCGCAGGACTTGCAAAAACAACCCGTTTTTTCCCGCTTTCTGAAGATTTTATGTCCTCTTCCTCCTCTAACGTCGATAGGAACATATCTTTTGTCATCTCGCCAAACTCACTCTCGTCGCTACTGGGACTCGACGGGATTCTTTGCAGTCGACTTTTCACTGAACTAAAAACAGTAGAGGCCAGCGGAGCCTTTGAAAGACCAGCCCCTGGACACCAGGTTTCACGCCTCTGTAGGTGGACGTGATGAGAAGAGAACCGTCAGTGGTCTGAGCCCTTAAAATTGGCCACGATCCGCGAGGTGATCGTAAGCTAGAATTACACGCGTAACGAAACCCAAAACATTTACTAACCTTTGCCAATTTTTGTTTACTTCGGTTATTCCCAGTCTCTCCTCCCGCAGTGCAAATCATATTGCACAACCTTTTTATCTTTTCTTCTTGTTCGTTCTGCAAAAAGGCAACAGCAAGTAAGACTGTGTGGACTGAAATAGCTTGTTCTTTCTTTCCCTCTTTGCGATATCGTAAAGCCTGATGGGTTACAGCACTGCGTTAGAAATTTCTACCCTTGAGCCGGTTTAGTTGCCTGGAAAGCATCTGCAGAGGAAATGCGCACCCAAAGCTAGACGCGTTTCTCGTACCTGTTGTCGCCGTTGCTGCTCCAACATTTCCTCCATCTGAAAACAAAACGAGAAAAAAGTGCATTAACTCTTTGATCCCTAAGAGTGATCACAATCAAATTTCTCTCTACAATATTACTCCTGAATCACACACGAGGGTCACAAGAATAAAGGAAATGATCACCAACTAAGGGAGCTCTTGATTGTGAAACAAATTCTCATTATTAGCACATTAGGAAATGTATAGAAAACAGTATGGAGAATATGCATACTGATGTTACAGTGTCAAGGATTAATAACATTTTCGGATTTGTTTCTTTTTCAACATTTTAATTAGCGTTCCCAGTTTTGTGCAAACACACAAAAACCCCATCAAAGGTGATAACCTTGGCATTCCTTACCTCGTTCACTTTTTCTTTTTCGAGTAGTAGCTCTTGTACATGCGAACTACTGCTCATCTGTAAATAAAAAATGTAAATATTCAAATTTAAGTGTTAACATACTGCACGGTACAGAAGTGTGTTGAAGAATTTTCAACTAAGACTCCTGGGTAATCTAGGTTTGCATTGGTTGAACTACGCTCTGTGATTGGTCGAGAAAACTCACACCACCGTCACAACCAATCAGATTCTTATCTTAATGCTCAGGCAGTTTCCTTCTTCTGAATTTGTTTTCGTATTGACTGCTTGTAGTATTTCTCTTCCTTTCACATCAGCCTCAGTGATTACCTTGGTTTTGGATGAAGGGTATTCAACCGAAATACGCTCTGCAGGATACAGATACAACTATAAACTATAGTTCCTTCACAGACGCGTCTTACCTCGACAAGCTGTTGTTTAAGCTCACGAATTTCCTTTCTGTAACGCTTTAGAAGTGTTCCATCATCAAGTACCTTAAAAGATAATGGAACAACTGTTAAAGAGGGCTGTTGTCTCATTTCATGATTTACTCTAGGAGTAGAATCTGAAATAGCGAAGAAATTTTTAAATTTAGAAACCATGAAGATAAAACTATATGAAATGGGACATGTCGCGGTATACATTAAATAAAAGAATGATCTCAAAGATAGCGTGCGATTAGTTCCCATTAGCGCTGTGGCACGGGTAATGAGGTCACGAGATGTCTGACACTAAAATTGAGCCAGGACTCTGGCGGACATCTAACGCACTCACATCGATCTCCGGCTCGAAATGCGCGGCCTCGCCACTCGCGTCGCAGCGCTCACGAGAGCCTGCTCCCAAGCTAACGCCGAGATTGATAGATGGTAGATTGGATGGATAGAAAGACGGACGAAGACCGATAGAAAGATAAATATCTTAATCGGGAGTTAGAGAGGGAACAATTCACGCATTTTTACCTCGTTAACTTCTGGACAGTTTTTGATGGTTTTCGCTCGGCTGGCAAACTGAAACAATGAAGGATATAATCTTAATTTCCAAACGGTGTATACAACTTCTAATCGTTGTAAGTGGTAAACTGTCTAAGACGCGGAGCGAAGGGAAAGCCAGTTACCAAGGAACCTTCCCAGATTCTTAGAGGTGGTAATTTTGTCTGACGTATGTCATGCGTTAAAGATTCACTTCAGAATAAATGACTCCCTCACTTGCATTCCATGTGGGACACATCACAACAGTTTCTAAACTGACTGCGCGTGTGCAAGGAGTTACATTAGCAGCCGGACAGTTACCTTTAAAGTACTAATTGACTCTTCAATCGCCGCTGGAGTGATCGTACATAGCATGGAGGTCTTTGCATTTCCTCCGAGCGACGACTGTAATATTCGGGTTAGCTTTGAATCCCGGAATGGTATAAAACTGCCGAGAAACAGGTTTGTTATTAGTAGAGACCCTGGATAGTTAATATCTTGTTCAAAACGGACTGGAGCCGTCAATATCCTGACGCTTTTGTCAGATTTAAAACTGATACAAATCGCAACATAATCACTCGCATTTGCTTGCCATCGAGGTCATTTGCTTGGTTATCAGTTGTTTTGTACCCACGGAAGTTTCGTACCTAGCTAAGATCATTCGTACCTAGTCAGCCTGAATTTTTTTCGGGCCATATTTTCAGAACTACTTAGGTAGTGATCATTACAGCGAAGATCGCTTCCATATTCGTTTCTTTGTCCGCAGTTCACATATATGAATTTCATATATTTACAGTCATCCAGTCAGTTTAGCCGTTTCGTAACCTTACTAACAAAGTATTCTTTTTCACGCCAGGTGTGTTTAAATTTGAGTCGGTTCCTTAGTACCGTCAGGAACAAAGGGATTGAAAAATTCACACTCACTATGCTAATTAGCTATTATCGTTAAGAAAGTCACAAGTATGAACATTAGACTGATCTATTAAAAAGATCACACTTACTTTGCGCTAGGTTATAATTTATCTGTCATTGTTAAGATGTTCACAAATGAACGCCACAGAACTTTATTTGTAAGTTACAGGTACTCACTTGTCGTGCGCAACAACCGACATCTGTTACCCGGAATTTTGAACGTCACTGAATGATTGGACCGGTTCGAACCGACAGAAACTGGGTACTAACCAGTGCGACACTCACTTAACCCTTTACACCCTAACATCATTGTATATATTCTCCATACTGTTCTCCATACATTTCTTATGGTGCTGACAAGGAGAATTTGTTTAAAAATCAAGACTTTCCCTTAGGTGGGGACCATTTCCTTTATTCTCGTTACCTTAATGTTTGATTCAGAGGTGATGCTGTAGGGAGAAATTAGATGCTGGTCACTCTAAGGGGTAAAACGATTAAAACGCGTTCTATGAGGCTGAATGAAATATTCTTACCTTTCTCCTTCACTTAGCTTGGCTATAACAGAGCCCAGGGCCAGAAGACTCTTGTTTATGTGCCCGCCTTCTTTCAATCTTTGACCTGAGAAATTCAAACAACATTGCTTTGAAGTTAAGGCAAACTTGAAATCACATAACTAAATAAATAAATTGATGAATAAAGTTCAACTGAAGACAAAAATCTGACAAATCATTGGACAATAGCGACAACATCAACGACAAAGACAAATATGAGCTAACCAAAAGCTCCAGTTTGCGACGCTCTTTCTGAGCCTGCTAAGTCAACCAGGTTCTGAAAAAAGAAGAAACAAACACAGGTGGATGTTACAAAGTGGGTAAGGAAGTAAGATCAAGGAAACAGAATGGGAAGAGAGTTGAGGCGGGGGTGAAGCTCGACCTCGAGAGTAAGCATTAACAAAAATTCAATTAGACGCTGTTTATCTAGACCCACCACTACTTACTTTTTATCAGGAACAGATCTTTGGATAACGCTTGTTATCGGGAATACACAGACGCCGTGGAGATGCTAAGGCGAATGTGACAAAAAAGTCGGCTTTGTTTGGGCCTCTTGTTATGCAAAATGGTTTTAAAGTGTGATCTACTAATGAGCTTCACTAAACGCGTTTGCGTTTGCGTGGACACGCAAACGCAAACGCCAACGCCAACGCGTTGGCTCTGCGTGGGGAACGCGTTGAGTGGTTCGCTTATCTTCGAACGGTACTGTAGTCATTATAAAATGAAAGAAAAAAGTTTTTAAAGTAGATATCTTAAGTGTAAATTTCACGATCTTTTACATTGGTCTTAATAGGAAGCAAGTGCAGCAAATTACGTTTTCATTTATTAAAAAAGAACACATTACAAATTTACCAAAATTGAGATCTTTTTACCTCATAAAATTACCAGTTTGTCTTGCAATGTGGAAATTGAAACATGAAGAAATGCTGATTACGTATGTAATAATGTCTATGAAAAAATTACGCGCTTTTGATCTGCCGAGTGCAATCTCATGTAACACAAGTGCAAAGTTGGAACACGAGTGCAAATTACAATTAGCGCGTGCAAGCTTTCAAAATTCCGTCAATCTGGACCCACTGTGAAATTTTTTAAAAGCTATATTTGAAATATGAAAGAACATGATTTCTCTAACAATTTTGTGTGAATAAAGACTACAAATTGCAGCTGCCCAACGGGCTCGTGCAATTTTGTTGACTTTGAAATATTTCCCCGTTCTCTTAACACCCCCCTGCACTCAAAATCATATTATTACTTAGACTAAGAGTTATTTGTTTACCAAATGTGCTACTCGAACTGCGCCGTCTATTGTATCAGGAGTCTTGCTTTCGTCCATCATTTCACGGCTCTCGATAACCTTGAACATAAAATAACGCAAAATAATAGCACTTCACTGAGAGAAGGCACGGTAACTACTTTTGCTACTCATTGTGCCTGCGGTAGCCGTATGAAATCACTAGCTGAAGTAAAGAATTGTCTTTAATGAAGCGAGTTTGGTGAGGGCACAGAAATTATTCTTGATATTTACTCATGTGTGTTTAGCGGGACGGTGACAAGTGCAAACTTACCACCCGAAAAATTGTATGACTCCTGCTGCTGCGGTCGTTCATATTAGTAACACCAAAATGTCGATTTTCTACGGAAAAAAAGCAATATACAAATAAATTAGGGATTCTCAAACACCATTTTATTAAAATTGACTGCGTTCAGATGGTCGATCCTGCAGCTAAATGGCTGTATAACTGCACCTTCGGGTGTCAATAAACTGACGGCGTTTGAGCCTCATGTCGCTCTTCATATTTAAGCCTAATCTTTGTTAAATGTTAACAAATTAGACAATTTGAGGAAGCAATTTTTCAAAGAAGAAAAGTGGGTCAATGATCAGTTTGGCTATTCTCATTACCTGCGTTGCTGGATAATATATGAATTTTATGGGGAGAAGTTACATTTTAATCACTTCTGGGAGTTAAATGGTTAAAATGACCTTTGCTTACGAGAACTTTCTGGAGTAAATGCGATATTTACTTACTCTCTCCTCGCATCATGTGTTTGAAGACATCTTCGCTACAGGATACCACCTCCTCTGTCAGATCACCAACGTAGACTTGTTTCTAAAAAACAAAAGCAACGGTTTAATTTTTTAAAAACAGTTTCCTACAATATTATTGGGCAAACAATAACTTGGTTTCCCTTAACCCAGTCTCTCCTCCAACTCTCCTTCAATCCCAAGATGGCGGGTTGAAACGTTTTAAGACTTTTTCCGATCCACAAACACTCGATTAACGTCTGGCGTTTTTGGTAAACAATGACTGATGAGTAAAGGTGTACTAAGCTAAAAATTACAAATTTGCCATTGGAAATAACATTTGAAAGTTTCTCTTAAATTTTTAGTCTATCGCTGGTGAATCGACGGCGCTAGCTAACACAATTTTCACGAGCTAGTTTCGCGAAACGCTTTGATCTAAAGGCCCGCAAACGTCAACAGTCAATCCTTTATATGCAATTCATTTGATGCCATTCAAATCAGATTCTATTTATTTCCGAGGTGAAGCACGATCATCAATGTACATGTGCTACTTACTGTACACAACAAAACTTTCTTCATTTTTATTTATTATTATTATTTTTTTTTTCTTCCAGGGATTTCATTAACCTACCTGAGCATTTTCATGTATTTTGAGATTGGTTTTCGCAGGATTCAGCAGATCTTTGATGTCCTGATAAATAAATAAATAAATGACATAAATAAACAAAGTTTAACAGAGGACAAAAATCTGACAAACTTTTTTTTTCTCTCTCTCTGGTACAAGAACTCCTAAGTCTTGCCAGACCTCTACATTTGAATGGACTGGTAGTTACCCCCTTCGGATTGAAGCAAGGCATTGTGGGAGGAAGATGTCAAATGATCTGACCATAAGTGAAACAATTTTGGCCATCAGTAGTCTCCATTATTGCAGTAGTCAATGAGCACTATCTTAAATTATGAATCAAGCTGAGATTTGTATAAAAATCCCAGCAAAGCATGTACTGTTCTTTCAATTATCAAATAACGAACATCAAGTGGTAAAAAGGCAACTAAACTTGTTTACGGGTGGGTAAACTCTTATTATCTCTATTAAATTTATAGTTTGCCAGGAGTGACAGCAGAAAGTGCAATTCAAACTGATTTATTTACTGTTTGCATGCCTTTCAAATTCTATTTGTACAATCACGAAGTATCATCAACAGTGTATTATTATGTAGTTACCTCATTGTAGATCTCTATGTATGAAACTCGTATTAAAAATTCTCTAGAAGGATTCTGTAAAAAATAAAAAAAAATAATAAGATAACAATAATAAATAAATAAAATAGGATGTCAATAGACTAATATTAAATAATTGAAAAGAGAAAAATGATTACCCTGCCACCTTAACTCTCTCCTCAGGGGTTTCAAAACAAGCTGGCAACAGCCAGAGTTCGGCCCGCTACCTGATAACATGTCGCCAGTTCTTCTGGTAGAAAAAATCACCTTTTGGCCCTTAATGAACTTTACATAGGCACCTTCGTTTGTAGAGTCCGATGACTACTTCAAAACATTAATTTTTGAAACCCTTGTCTCCTTTCCTTTCCTCAAATTTAACTTTCAATGCAACAGAATGAACATAAACAACACTTGTCTTCAATTTCATATACTTAATGGTAATGTACATGTAACAGGCCATCATAAAGAGTTTCTGAAGTTGGTGTTTCAAGCCTTACAGTGTTATGGTGTTAGCTCTCAGTTTCGAAGAAGGGCTAACACTCAAGACATCATTTTTAGAAACTCTAAACTGGTAAATTTAAATTATCAACTCAGTTGATAAATTAAAACTAAATTGTCTCATAATACCCCATCCCCCACCCCCCACCAATGCAACATCACAGTTCTGTTAGAAATGTACCCCACTTACTTTAATTTCATATTCAGTAGGCTACTGTAACTGGAGTTTTATTGATCAAAAATAACTTAGTTTGTATCTCTCAGTAAGCACATCACCCAGAAAAGAGATGATCAATACATAATTACTTCAACTAAAAGGAATTATCTTGACTACTGCACATAGCACCAGATTCCCTCAGTTGTTTGAAAAGAAAATGAATGCTAACCACATTGGAGAGGAACCTATTGGATCACAGCATTTTTTTACAAAATTCTGTAAATGGTTGGCAGGTTAAACACAGAATACCTTTTCAATATAGTCAAAAATTTCCCCAATAGCTTTGGGGATGACTCCTTTGTACTTTCCATCTCCCATCATGGTATGAGTCTTTCCAGATGATGTCTGCCCATACGCAAAAAGAGTTCCTAAAAACAGATTTTAATAGTTGATGGGTGTAAGTCTTTGGATTAAGTCAGCTTACAAGCTGACAACCTTTGCTCTGAAGAAGGGCAAATGCTTCTAATGTCAGCTTTGAAACACTTTTTGGTGGCCAATTAAGATTATCAACTCAGTTGATGATACCAAATTACCCTGTCACACTCTTCCACCAATACAGCATCAGTTTCTTTAAAAACTTAACCCCTTTACAAGCTGAATACACCATTCTACTGGACCTTATCCAAGTTATATGGCTATGCAAGGAGGAACATCAATACTCTCCTTGAGCCCAATGCCAATCCATTTGTACATTGCTGCTTGACTCTGACAATTTGCCACTATCTATTTACACTCCTGGACTTAGTTGTTCAAATGATGGGTAATGTTTTTCATTGGATACGAGGATATAAATCTCTATCCAGTGGATAGCAATTTATCTGTTAAATAGCATTAATTATTAACCCTTCAAACCAATGTGGCCTGGGGGGAAAGAGGCCATCATTGAGAATAAAGTGTGTGGCTCAATCCTTTGACTCCAAAGATCCAATGATTACATGTAATTCTCCCCTCTAACTGCTACACATTTCCTTGTAAACAAGTTATGAGAATTTGGTGTTAGATCAAGATAACAACTACCTGATAAGTCTTAATATTCTCATTACCTGTTGGCTGGGTAATGTATGGATATTATAGGGAGAAGTTACAAGTAAATTACTTCTGCCCAGCGTAAAAGGATTAAGAACACAACACATCCAAGCTATGTGGCTATGCAAGGAGGAATGTCAATACTCTTCTTGAGCCAAATGCCAATCCATTTGTAGGTTGCTGCTCCCACCCCACCCCCCCCTCCATAAGTTTGTTAGGCTTCTCTGACAATTATAGGGATATTATAGGGAGAAGTTACAAGTAAATCACTTCTGCCCAGAGTTAAAGGGTTAAGAACACAATAGGGCTGGCTTAGGTCTTGAACCCAGACCCTTTATTATTCATTGTGTTTCTCAAAGTGTGGGTCTTGACCAAGAGCCAATTTTTTTTTCTTTCAAGTTTGACTTGATCTAACTCAATCAATAAGTAATTCATGATTTACTTTTTGTGTTTTGTTTTTGGTTCATCCTGCAATTTGCAGAACTGTACATTGGCCAATGCAGCTTTTTCTGGCACCCTCTATCGCATATGGCTCTCATACAACTTTTGATGTTATCTATGAAAAGTGCTATTAGGTCTGTATAACTCCTATGGTATACGTAGCATACTGACCATTGAATCCGTCCATGGCAGAAAGGACTGTAGGTCTGCCAAACTCATCATAAACATCTTGGGTAGAAGATGACATATCAAAAATTCGATCTAGGGCAGTCAGAAAAGTTGAATTAAACAAGAGTTATTTTAATAAAGTGGCTGGGGCTAGGATACTTAGAAACTGGGAAAAATCCCTTGCTCAAGGCCCTCATTGACAACCCTGAATTAATCAATTGCTCAAGCAGACCAGATACAACTCTCTACAAGTACCCTTGATTAAAAAAAAATAATAATAAACAACCAAAAAAATTATAACAAATATAATAATAAAAAAGAGGAGACCTACCAAAAAAGTAGGATGAGTTTGGCAGTATCTTTGCATTCGACAATTGTGTAATGGTGTTTCCATCAACCTTCCAGTGTATTGGTTGATGAAAATCATTTTCCCTAAAGAAATAAAAATGAATGAGATCCATAGTGTTTAGTTCATTACACACTCATGGAATGTATTTTATCATAGGGCTGTTTGACCCTACTTGGTGTTCTTGAACATGTTGGTTATCCCTTTAGAAGGTAATACTTTGCTTTTATAAGCCTGGGCGAATAGGGTAAATTAAATCCATAATTCTTTACCAAATGTGACGCATTTTTATTGCGACGTGTTTAAGTTTTTGAAATATAGAAATATTTCAATGCGGAACGTAATACAAAAATCTATGACTGCAGTTTTCAGAATCTTTCAAGGAACATGATGATATCCAAAAGCTGAATGTTAATGTTAAATCTGAAGCGTCGAAAGACAAAAAGAACAACCATTGATGGCACTTACGAAATAAATGGAACAACCGATTTGAATATCGTGTTGGCAGTAAATAAAACATTAATAACAGAGTTCATAATATCAAATTCGGGAATTACATCGATACGATCGGACACAAAAACGAATTTAGAAACAGACCGTCTGTTGGCGCGACCAGCCTGTTTGCGCTATGCTCCACAGAAAGTGATCTGAACATTGTAATCGATAAACACTTACACAAAATCGACGCTTACCTTTTTATTAGAGGACGAACCCTGATAGCAACCCTTATGTTGTCAGTTGCTGCCATTCTCAACAAGGAAATAAAATTACATAAAACTACTACATGTGTATCTCGCTGATCATGAAAGAGAATTTCTAAAATTTGAAATACACCGCTTTCATTCTTCTCGATTATGATTGGTTCGATCACTCCAGACCAGTCTTACGCGTCTTTATCTCCCACATTACATCGTCATTTTTGATTGGTAAACTAAATAAACCAATCATAACATTTCTTCTATCTTTTGCGCTTCTATCAGGAAACAAACATGGCGGTCTTCTACAAGTGTAAACTAACAAATTATTTTTGTTATTTTGTTGGTCAACTGGAAGATATAATCTGTTACGGCATCACAATATCACTATAAGATGGCGGTGAGTATAGAGATTTGCCATGGGGTACTTTTTCCTTTTGATGCCCGTTTTACGCGGTTTTCCTCATCAATCGTGTTAATGCAACTTCTGCTTGTGTTGTGCAATAAATAAAATAATAATAATAATAATAAAAAGAATTAAAATAAACATTTGCGACCTCGTTGATCGATTTTAGAACATATTTGAAGATGTTAATTGTCTCTTTTACAATGCGTTGTAAGGGAAGCCTTGATATCTACTTACACAGAGATGAATTGCTGGTTAGCAGTGTCGACGTGTTATCATATTACTCTAGTAAAGAACCATTGATCCATGCTTAGCGTGCGTATTTCAGTTATGAATGCACGCGGGAAGTTTGGAGAGCACAAGAGAAGCGTCAGAGTGGCCGAGGACAGCAGAGAGCAACTCTAGCAACTTGAGTGCACTCCAAACTTCCTGCGAGCATCTATAACTTAATCTACACTTAGCTAAAGCATGACCCAATTCTTTTCTAATATAGTATGCAGACACAAATTGTGCATGAAGAAAGAGTTTATTACAACTTTGTTAACTTTACCAGGTAATACTGTTCTGTCCAAAAATGAAAAACAAAGCAAAAAGATTACAAATATCTTGCATGCTTGAATTGTTGTTTACTAGAATTTACGACCTGAAAATTGCGTAACTCTATGCTGAAAATTCTGGAAATTGTACAATTTCGAAACAAAGCCTTTTATGGTACCACTCTTATGGGACTAATGAAAATTAAAACAAAATTCTCAAGCATGATTGGTTAGCCCCTGAGCCTGATTTGAGGGCAAACACTGGACAGTGTGATGGGACACTTGACAGGTCATGCTTGTGTAAGTGGACAACACACATAATGTGCGCCCTGTTGTCATGCATTTAGCCAAGTTAACTTTTTTTTTCACTGTTACTGACTTTTTCTAGGATGAGGGGAGACTTGAGGAAGAGCTTGCATCATTTCGTCGCCAGTGGAAGGAAGAAATACAGAGAAGTACTAATGATAGTGGTTCATCAAGGAATTCTCCTGTATCAGAATCAGCCTTACGACCAAGTCGTGAAGGATCCCCAAGCCCATTAGTGTTAGGGCAGAAGAAAGTGGTCAGTTCATCCCAAAAACCCCAGCAGTTAGAGGAGAAGGTAAGGAGCGTTACATTCATTCCTTGATGTCTTAGTGATTACTGGTACATTTACATCTATCTTTAATTACATGTACATCGATTTTTAAGATTTAATAGTTCTGAAATAGAATGTTAACCCTTTAACTTCCAGACATGATTAACATTTTACTTCTGCATATATTATATCCATACATTATCAAGCAAACAGGTGATGAGGATAACTCAAATTTATCAGGTAGCCTAAGCAAATTCTCATAACTTATTTACAAGGAAATGTGTAGCAGTTAGAGGGGAAAATTAATCAACAGATCTTGGGAGTTAAAGAATTAAGCCACACACTGAAATATTCATTATCTTGATGACAACTCTAAATTCCCATAATTGAGATAAAAAGGAAATTTTTAGCAGTTTGGGAGAGAAATAACAATCAGATGTTGAGAGTTAAAGGGTTAACAGATTTATCACACCCATTTTGAAATCACTAGTGGTTCCTGTAATCTGATTAGCTCTAATTGGTGCGATTTATTCACAAATCACGCCATTTTTTGCTTTAAATCGCATCATTTTCCCAGCCATTGAGGAGGCTACACTGAAAACAAAACAACCAATCAGATTTCAAGGCTTGTTTAAAGTAACCAATCTAATTGGAGGAAAATGAAAGACAAAGAGTATCATGTGGAAAATTTTGCAACCTTTGTTTCCAAAACTCTTGTTTTTTCCCCCAAAAAATGGATGAATTTAATTTCAAACCAGCTCAGTACTGCATCAATAAAATTTTTGAACTGACCAAGTCCTGTATTTGGGCGATTTCAAAATGGATGTAATAAATTGGTAATTGAACCTTGTGCCGTGCAATTTTGGTCTGAAATCATACTTGTGATTTCAAATCGAACGAGCGCTGTGTACTCGACTCAGTTCAATTACCATTATTAACAGGATGTTCATATAGAAATGTATAAACAGGGAAATATTATAAAGGAACAGGAGAATACTGTAAGAGTCACTAGGATCTGATTTCTCCTCACTATAACACCTCTGAATCACATATCAAGGTTGTGAGTATAAAGGAAGTGATTGCCTTGACTAATAAAACTCTTGATTGTTATACAAATTCTCCTTGTCGGCACTTTAGGAAATGTTTAGAGAAATAATGAGGGGAATATGCATACTGATGTTAGGGTATAAAAAGCCAAATACTCCTGGTAAATTTTAAGGCAATCTGACTTATTGAGTACAAATATGTGTTTGTGGATTTTGCATTACTAGCAGAATAAAATGTTCAAGAATGTGCAAAATGTAATCTCAGTAACAAAATCTTTAATCCTTTACACCCTGACATCAGTATGCATATTCTCAACACTATTCTGTATATAAATCCTAAAGTGCTGACAAGGAGAATTTGTTTTAGCAATCAAGAGCTTCTTAATAGCTGGTGATCATTTCCCTTATTTTTGTGACCTTAACATTTGATTCAGGGGTGATCTTGTTATAAGAATTTAAATGCTTGTCAATCCTATGGTTAAAAGATCACTAACTTTGTCAATAAATTTTAATACAGGCAGCTCATTTGTTCTTACAAGGGGTGTCTGCGGAGAGGAATGGAAATCTCTATGAAGGCAAGTATAATGTAGCTTTTGTTACATACATATCTAATCGTACCTATTTAATATCATTCAAGAATGGCTTATTTTGTGTAATGACAAGTGATAGAAAGTTTATGGCCTGGGGCAGTCAAAAAGTGCAGACAAGGTTTTATTTCATGTATTTGAATTTTTGCTCTTTTCTTTTTAGCTATTTATTTTTACCGACAAGCTGTTCAGCTTGTTCCAGATATTGAGTTTCGAATCAAAGATTTTACAAGTTATAATTTGGCATCAGGTAGGTTTTTAGATACCTTTTCCATTGTTATGCATTTGACTGAGTTTCAAATGGGTGCAATTTTTATAATGATAGTACCATTGATTGTATTTATGGATACCTGGTAAATGTAATGATTTTGTTGTAATGTTTTCAGGAATGGATGAATGAGTGAATGATTATGAATAAATGAAAAACAAACTGGCCAACAAATAAACAAACAAACAAACAAAACCTCTGTATGAGGACGCGTATGGTGCATATGATACTGTAGGGCTTGGATATAACCTTGGCAAACTCACCAAATGCAAGTGATTTTGATAATCTGCGAGTGTGAAAATATCCACTTGCAAACATTTGTTAGGTAGAATCATCCATTTCTCCCAAACATGCTATAGATAGGTGGTGGTTGTCGGGACAATGGCAATTAGGAGACCAAATTTTTGATAAGCAATACAGGTGCAGTGCTCTACCACCTGAGCTACATGTAAAAAGCCAACTGGGAGCTGGTCACTATGTTGGCTCCCAATAAACCTTTGAAGTGATGAATAATAACTGTGAATATATGAAAATCATATATGTGAGCTGTAGATAAAGATGTGAATATGAAAGCAATCTTCACAGTAACAAACCTTACTTGAACAGTAGTGAAAATAAGGCCTGAAAAAAAAATCCAAGTCATGGGTTCAAATCCCCTGCAGGCCTGAATTTTTTTTAGGCCTTATTTTCACTACTGCTCATCAAGTAGTGTTCATTACTGCAAAGATGGCTGTAATATTTTATGTGAAATTTTGTTTGAAGACTCTGGTGTCCTGTTGTATTTATAGCTAGTGGAGATGAGGAGGATGACCCCAATGTATCTCAGGAATCTGATGAGTAAGGAATCACTGCTTTTAATTTCAGCCAAGTATGAGTGACAGCTGGGAGCTGTGTAGTGTAGTGATTGTTAGTAGAAAATAATAAAAGACGATAAGAAACTAATAATAATAATAATGATGATGATGATGGAATTTTTACAATTAAAAGTAACCATTAACTTGGATCCTTGTTGTTCATGTCTATCAAAATGTGATGTCTTAATGTCATTTTTTTACAGCTCACCTGAGTTAGCAGATTTAGCCAACAGATTCCTTTCTCTCTCTGTTACTGGATTTTGCCAGCCACTTTATGAGACTAGGGTAGGCTTACTGATTCATTTGTTTGTTTGTTTGTCAGTTTTTGATGCATCATTTACAAACTTAATTGGTAAAACTAGGAAAACTGTTAGCACTTTGATGTTATCCTCTCAGGTCAATTGCATGACAGCAAATCAAAGTAATGATCAAGACTTGCAAGAAAATCTCAAAACCATAAATCCTATCATGATTATAAGGTTGAGTTATCTTATTATTTCTTGAAAGGCAGTTGTATTGCGTTAAAAAAAATATATCTCTGGTTTTCATGGTTTCTGAGTGTGGTAGTTAATCAGAACTACAGGATAACATAATTCTGAAAGGTGATTGGTTATTGCAAGCCTCTTGTCATGCATGCAATTGGACAGTTATTTCATCTCATATGCAGACATTGTTATTGCACATTTTACAGAGTTAATTGTTGTTGTTTTTGTTGTTTAATGTAGTGCAAATGTATAACTAATGGCTGGTTTGTTTCTCCAATTTTGGTCAATTATTTGAATCGGTGATTGAATGATTGATTGATTAGCTGGATGAATTATTGAGCAGTTGATCAATTTTGTGATTGTTTTACTGATTGATTCTCTGTTGTTTTTCTTTCTTCCTCTCAGATGACCCATATATCAGCCATCCCACTGGAACTTGTCATGTATATTTTCAAGTGGGTGGTGTCCACAGAGCTTGACATGAAATCACTTGAACACTTAGCACTGGTGCGAAGACACTTTCATGCTGAGTTTAAAACTTTGTTTGTTTTTAAAGTATTAATAAAAATAACAATGACAGTGATAAAGGAAAATAAATGACATATTAAGAGTTAAGACAAGAATTAAGGCTTTTGACAGAGAAACAGATCAGTGAGGATCAGTTTTGTCAAATCTCCATTTATCCACAAGGAAGCAAACTGTTCTTTTTACATTAACGAGATTGACATAACACTCCCATAGACAGACATCCAGTCTTTTTTTGTCCTTTTGTGTCTGCCTAAAGAAATAATTCTTGTAGGCGGACAGTGCTACAAACAGACACTTTTATTGAATTCCCAAGGGTGTCCACTTACAAGAGAGTTGACTGTACCCTGTGTCTCTCCACAGCCAAGTGCTTAGTTGTGTAGTATATTTAAGTCCCAGTGACTGTCAGAGAATAATTTCTCCTTTGCAGTTGTCTCCTGTAATCATGTCTTCCTAATTTGGCTTATTAATAGGTTTGTAAAGGGTTTTATGCCTGTGCAAGGGATCCTGATATATGGAAACTGGCTTGTCAGAGGTACATGCATGAACATGTAATTTTTGTTTTTTGTTTTGTTTTTTTTTTCCTGGCATAAATTCAAATTAAAGCATCTTGAACCATTTAACTCCCAAGATCTGATTATTGATTCTCCCTTCTGGCTGCTACACATTTCCCTGTAAGTTAGTTACAGGAATTTGGTATTTGATCAGGGTTATGACTTTTGCCTTATATGTTTGATTATTCTCATTACCTGTTTTGCTGGAAATGTTTGGAAATTATAGGGAGAAGTTACATGATAATCAATTCTATAAGGTTAAGGTTTTGACCCATAAGAATGACCAGCTTATAATTTCTCCTTACATTATTACATGCAAATTAAAGTCACAAGAATAATGCAAATGATCACTGTTCTTGATTGTGAAACAAATTCTCCTTATCAGCACCTTAGGAAATGTAAAAAGAATGGAATTGAGAATATGCGTACTGATGTAGGATGTAAAGGTTTAAAGATAAATTGTCCTGCTAAGGACATGTGGTGTAAATGACAAAAAAACTTTGAATTCACAGTGACTGTTTGTACCTTAGGGTTTGGGGTGTCAACTGCGGCAATCCAGTGCAGTGGAATGGCTCCTGGAGACTCATGTATATCAAGCGTCCACATCTTTTGTTTGTTGGTATGGACCTTGTCATGAAACATCTTGTATTTGTATACTATGTTAGTTGCTATGTTAGTTACTCTTAGTTTCATCAGTTTATTGATGAAGTAAATATGATTTTGACTGACAGATGAAATTTTCAATTAACTCTTTAACTTCCTAGATCTCATTGATAGTAATTCTCTTTACTGCCTGCCAAATGATTCTCATTAATTTAGTTTGGAGCATTTGATATTGGGTCAATTAGTAATCCCATAATTTGATATTTTTCTTAATTCTCATCATTTGTCTACAATCAAGAACATAGCCCCTTTAAAGTAGTATGTGAGATGTTGAGAAAGCTGGCAGCATGATTGAAGAAGTTTGTCACTTCCTGTGAGAGTGTTCATGGGATGTTGTTAGTATGTACTGAGAATTGTTACTAGATTGAGGGCAAAGTGTCTCTGATATGTCTTTGCTGATATGGTGTATAGCTTACAAGGAGCTTTTAGCCCTCTGTTAGTGATATTTAACAATTGCTTGTGGATGCAGAGGAAAATGTTTACCACTTTTACAGACACTGACATGAATAATTATTTTAGTTTAGACCACACAAAAATGTTTGTGCAAAAACTGCAGTGTATCATTACCTGTAATGATCATTTCTTCACCTAAACATTAATTTATTCCTTAACAATGAGTCTTACTGAATGAATTTCTTTTTTTCTTTTGGTACTGAAAGGTGTTTACATAAGCAAGACTTCCTATGTGAGGGAGGGAGAGAAGAACCTGGATTTCTGTTATCGTCCTTATCATGTTGTGGAGTACTATCGTTACATGAGATTTTATGTTGATGGTAAGATTTGAATGTATCATCCAGTAATGCAATAGAATGGTTTAAGCCTGGTGGTACATGTCAAATTTTTTTCCTGTGGTCTGATTGTTGGGGCTAAGGTCGTCCTGAGAAGGACTGCTGTCATGACAACCTCAGTGCGAGTCATTATCAGATTTGAGTGTAGAACTTATATGATTGTTGTAGTATGTTTGATTGCAGGTTTTACACTGAATGAACAACTTACACATACTCTGAATTCGTTTGAGCCTGGTTTCCATTTGAAACCTACAACGTGCATGTTACAAATTACTTAGCACATTTTGAGGGAATTACGGTCAACTCGCCGACGGACCAACTCGCCGACGTATAAAATCGAGTAGAGACGTCGGCGAGTTGGTCGTCAATCCAATACAACTTATTAGAAGTTAAACATACAGAAAATTAAACGATATTTAGTAAAAAAACACTGGTGAACATTGGTGAACATCAAACAGAAGCTTAAACATCGGTGAACATCACCAATGACTAGAACAGCTTAAGGCGCGAACGAGTTATTGTGCGACAACAACACCATAAAGACTCATCATGTCAATCGCTCAGATTTTTTAACGAAAACTTGGCTTTCTAGACAAGATCTTTAGTAAAAAGCAATTCTTTTTATTTGCAACAAAGTTTATAAGGATCTCAAGGCGAATATGTGACTCTAAATGACTCTAACAGCTTCAGACGCGAACGAGTTATTGTGTGACAACAACACCGTAAAGACTCATCATGTCAATCGCTCAGATTTTTTAACGAAAACTTGGCTTTCTAGACAAGATCTTTAGTAAAAAGCATTTCTTTTTATTTGCAACAAAGTTTATAAGGATCTTAAGGCGAATAAAGCGAAGTAAACCTCACCAATGACTCTAACAGCTTCAGACGCGAACGAGTTATTGTGTGACAACAACACTGTAAAGACTCATCACGACAATCGGTCAGATTTTTAAAGAAAACTTGGCTTTCTAGATAAGATCTTTAGTAAAAAGCATTTCTTTTTATTTGAAGCAAAGTTTATAAGGATCTCAAGGCGAATAAAGTAAAGTAAACATCACCAATTACTATACCGCTTCAGACGCGAACGAGTTATTGTGTGACAACGACACCGTAAAGACTCATCATGTCAATCGCTCAGATTTTTTAAGAAAACATGTTCACCAATGTTCACCGATGTTTAAGCTTCTGTTTGATGTTCACCAATGTTCACCAGTGTTTTTTTCCAAAATATCGTGTACTTTTCTGTATGTTTAACTTCTAATAAGTTGTATTGGATTGACGACCAACTCACCGACGTCTCTACTCGATTTTATACGTCGGCGAGTTGGTCCGTCGGCGAGTTGACTGGTTACCTTTTGAGGTCAGTGATCTTTCACTGTCCAGACCCTTTGCAACATGGAATCTAAGAGTAAAAAATGTATTAAAAAGAATGATAAGTGCTGTGAGTGGTGATGTCATGTTCAAGTATATGTGTCTGTCCTCCAATAATTCATGCAATGTAAGTGTTGGGACCAATCAGAATGTGTGTTTGATTTAGTTTACCATATGTGTCTTTTTGTTTTTGTTAGACATAATTATTTTTTGTTTGACAGGGACAGTATTAATTTACACCAGTGCTGATGAACCAGTCACTGCCATTGCACGGCTAAAACTCAAGCATTGTAATAGTCCATCTGTCTCTGTTGGCCACTACAGATTGTCTGGAGACAAGGTTTGTGCATTAAAACTAACTTTGTGCTTGTGGGTTAAACTTAAACTACTTGGGGTTTTTTTGTTCAAAGATTTCAATGTTCTCAATTTGTTTGGTAATGCAACTTTTAAGAAATATTTTAGCCTAAGGAGCCAACTTATCACAGAAACTTTTGAGTGTCTGAGCGCATGATCTTGGTGTTAACAGTGATAATTATTTTATGCATTTATAAGGATGCATTCAGCATTTTTAAGGAAAAAATGTTGTTTTAACACAAAGTAGCAGGGTGGTATCAAGTGTGAAACATTTAGATGAGAAATGCACCCACTAACAGGTGCATGTACATGGTGCAGCTTTTCTTTATATTTTGTGGTGTCCTTCTGCATGAGAATGTCCATAATTTGATTGACAGGTCATCATCATAGTCGACAAGAAAGTTACCTCTGACACTTACAATCAAACCAGAGGTCGCCGAGTGAGAGCACCTCCTCCTCCCATCCTGAAGCAAGTATTTCATATGGTAAGTCTGAAGTGAGCTTGACATAAACAGATTTGGTGGACCTGGTGTCATATGGTTTGAGTTTATTGTTTGTTATTTACCTTGTGCGAACAGTTTTGTGCGGACTCTGCAGTTTTCTTTCCTTAACCCTTACAGTGGCTAGCATGTCATTTTTATATTTTACAATATCACCCCTGAATCACCCATCAGAATGAAGGCAATAATCACCAACTAAAGAAGCTCTCAGGGAATTTTACCTCATAAGATCTAATTGTTCACTATCGTTTGACCCAACCAGCACCATTCATTTAATCCTGTCAAAACACATAATGAAAGTTGACTCATGTAGGGCCAGACTGATTGACTCAAGGCAGTCTAGCAACAGAACATTCACAAGAAAAATTAAAAAATCCTTTTTTTTTTTTTTTACTTCTTAAGTTTGATATGTGTAGCAAAAAGAACATGGATAAATATTTGCATTTGTTTTGGAAACTCAATCGAGCCATTTCTCAAAAAAATATTAACCTATTAAGCCATTTCACAAAAATATGTGTATTGCCTCTTTGGGCAGTTAACTCAATTGAGCCATTTCTCAAAAAAATATGCAATGCCTCTTTGGGCAGTTAACAAATTTCTGTAAGAGTTTTAATTGGGTTTTTTTCCCACAAGAGCTCCAACAATAAACACCAGCAAATTTAAAATTTGTACTGTGAAATACAGAGTTATAAAATTAATATGACCATGACCTGATGCTTTTGTTATCCCAAGGAATTGCAAATTAGCAGTGTTGGACGCCGTCGTCATAATCAGCTTACATGGCTGCATTACAGTGTCAATACAACATACAGGTAAGTTAGCTTTTGAGCTATTTCCTTTCGTAAAACTTTGCAAGTTATGAGTGGCTTAAAAGCCCATTATGAGGGGGTCTGGTGCTGTCTGTAAGACCTCTCACCCTTGTTCATTCAGCCTGCTAGCAGGCTCTGGTGTTTGGGATCCACCTTAATTGGCACAGTTGCCCATGACACCATCACCAGCCATTTATGCAAAAAGTTCTTGAAACCCTGGCATTTGTGATAATTCTATTTTGATTTTCTTTCAAAATCCAACCTTTGATTTCACTGGGCATGGAAGCAAATTAATCACACCTCAAATATATTGTCTCACTGAGACTGCATGGCTATAAAATGTCTCATGTATGGATTGACCTTGGAGAAAAGGTGCAACTTAGGAGGGGCAGAGCTTAACTGATTCATAAACAACTCCTTGATCAAACCTTACTTGGGGAAATCAAAAATCTGTGTTGCAAAAAGTACAAGAATTCTGTCAGCCACTTATGGAGAAAGCCCAGTAATTATGATTATCATACAATCATGCAATAAGTTTCACTTAATGAAAAGTTAACTGCATTGTCCATTTCTTTACAATCAGGTCATCTGGCCAAACAGTTGACTCACAGTTTGACTTAAACAACCAGTTTCCGCCATTGCATTTTTCACCAGTGCGCAGTTTCAGTAACAATGCCACAGCCCCTTTAGAGTAGTATGGTGGATGTTAAGTGAGCTGGCAGCATGATTGAGGAAGTTTGTTACTTCCAATTAGAGTGTACATGGGATGTTGTTAGGAGGTGCTAAGAATTGTTACTAGATTGAGGGCAAAGTGCCCTTGATATGTCTTTGCTGATATGGCATATAGCTTACAAGGAGCTAATAACCCTCTGTTAGTGATATTGAATAATTGCTCATGGATGTGGTGGAAAATGTATACCACTTTGACAGATGCTGATGTGAATAATTGTCTTAGTCTAGACCACACATAAATGAAACATGAGTTCAATTATTTCAGTCAACATACAGAAAAGTGGCCAGTGGAAAAAAAAAAAAACAAAGGAAAAAAAAAAGGTGGTGAGTGACCAAATCTTGCACAAGAATTCTGATCTTGTTTTGATTTATTTGCTTAGGAATCACAACAGTTAACTATCAATTAACTGATTCATTTGAAAGAAAATTATTTGGAAGAGTAACATGTTAATTTAGTTTCATGCTAGAATATTAGTTTAGGTTCTACATTTACAGTAAGCAGAATTGACACATTAATTAATGTTAGAAATAAACAATAGCCAAAAGGAGGCTATTTTGTTTATTATCCTTCAAATAATTTTGCAATGCACAGGAGAAAGTTTTCAAACAGCTCAGTGTTTGCTGAGTGGAATGTTCACTTTCCAGTGTTGTCTGGTATGACTTTATGAATAAACATGTCCTTTCCAAGATTTGAAAATTGGGGAATATACATCTTGGGGTATATCCTTGGACATTCCCCAGTTTTAGTTTTAGTGCAAGAGCAAATATTTGATGGACTATAATTATGACTGATGTATCAATTGCATCATTGATATTAATAGCAGTCATTATTCTGATTATTATTTTATAACGATTGTTGAGTATTCATCAAGCACAGTTTGTATCACTTATACTTAAGTTGCGTTAGAAGCTTATGCTTGATTTTTTTCCATACTGTGTGTTTTCTGAACAAGGGCAGCACATTACAATTTAGTCATTTTAATCATGTTTGATTTATATGCACACCACTGAATAAACTCAGACACTTTATCATTAAACTGCTCTGTCAGTCATAGTGAAAAGTTATTTCTGTAAAGTAATTACCCTTTACACCCTAACATCAGTATGCATATTCTCCATACTGTTCTCTATACATTTCCTGAAGTGCTGTCAGAGAGAATTTGTTGTAAAGTCAAGAGCTTCATAAAATTGGTGATTATTTCCTTGATTCTTGCGACCTTAATGTTTGATTCAGGGGTGATATTTTTAGGAGAAATTAGAAGATGGTTACCCTTGGGGTTATAGGGTTAAGCAGTAAGGGGTACTGATGACGTTTTGTTGTCGCAGACAAGTTAAATTAAGTCCTCCTTTGATACTTGTTTGATTGGTTCTCAAAATATCATACTACATTATGCTTATTAGTATGCATATTTTCCATACTGTTCTTAATACAAAAGTCATTTCCTATGGTGTTGACAAGGAGAATTTGATAAGATTAAAAAGTTTTAATCATAAGTTGGTGATCATTTCCTTTATTCTTCTGAACTTGATATGTGATTTTGGGAAGGTTTTGTAAGGAGAATTGAGATGCTAGTCACTCTGAGGTGCCAACAGTTAAGTTGTGTTCAGGCCATTTTAAGGTGATGTTCAGTTAAAAGGAAAGCATTTGTAAAGTCTGTCCCAGGCCCTTAGTTGTTTGGGACAAGTCAAAGACCAGCTAAGTGACAAACAGCCATAATTTTGGGCACCTCCTTTTCTGCAGGTTTTAGCACTGGTAATATTCTTGACCTCAACTGCCAACATTTTTTAGTGACTTATTGCTTTCATACCACTCTAAAATAATGTAGGAGTAGTGTGCCTCTTGGTTCTATACTCCCATCTTTTTTTTCACCAATTTCAGTAGCTTTTCCTTTCCACAACTATTTAGAAGCCAAAGCAGCCAACGTAAAACCAGGGTAAATGGCCTTAAATCAGTCCAGAAAAGGAACAATCACTTTACCAAAGTAAATTTGCTTTTCTTCAAAACCAATTAAGACTTTTAGGTTGATAGTGTGATCATTTATTTGTATTCAAATCCCTATATTTTGCCCCAACTGAAACATATGAGTATTTGGTTAGTTACAGAAGCTCATTTTGTGAGCTTTGGCTACCTGTGGTCTGACCACTTTTAATTAACCATTAATTAATTAATTAATCAATTAATCATTTAATTAATAGCTTTCACCTCAGCAACATTCCACTATTCTCTTAATTTTTAAAACCCAATGATGTTTGCTGGGTGACTCATTCTGTTTTTATTAGAATTAGTATTTTAATACATAATTATATAATTTAATGACTTGTTCATTTAATAACTAAAACATCAACCTTGTAGGAATTGAACTAAAAAATTGATAATAAATTGAAATGTCAACTGAAGTTTAATTCTGTTGCTCTATTAACATTTGACTGTGTGTTGTCACTATAAACTCCTCGGCCCGGTTGTGGAGAGGGCAGATAATGTTATCCAATGGATAAACTACTATCCAGCAGGTAAGTGATTGTAAAAGGTACTGTGCCATCCTCCAGATATCCACTGGGTAGAGATTTATCCAGTGGATAGCACTATCCAACCTTCAAACAACCAGAGCCTGATCTTCTAGCTCTTGAGTATAATAACCACAAAGAAAATTTTGTAATTTTCGTATTTCACAGCAGGTATCTTAACTTAAGCAGCATCAAAATGGCTTTTAGAGAGAGTTCTTACAACTTATTTATTGGAGGAGAGAACTGGCACAAAATTCCCCAGTGATCACTAGGAAATCTGCGACATCCAGGAATCCTCTCCATTCCCACTAACATAAACTGATTTGCTTTCAGTGCATTCTGGCCTTGTGCAGACCTAACAAAAAACCTGTCAAATCTTATTCTTGGCTTGTTGGGATAAGGCCAGTCTAAATTGTCATTCAATCTGACATCCCAAGAGTACTGTGCATCAGCAGGTCTCCCACTTTCCTCCCATGCATCGACTACACCACTTGGCAATCCTCCAAAAGCTGACAGCTCTTTGTCCCGCAAATTTGTGTCACCTCCAAATATAGCAGTGGCATTTGCAGCCTGTTCTGCCATGCTCTTCAAAACTTGTTGAAGTTGTCTCACCCGCTCAGCTTTGCACTGAGCTGTGCTCTCAAGGTGTGAGGTCATAAGAGTCAGTGCAATCTTGTTTTTAAACAAGACTGGCTGACAGAGTAAGTGACGTCCCATTTTACTTGACTGAAAATGTGTACACTGAAGGTCACCTGTGGTTTTGATTGATGACATCTTTAGAAGCATTATGTTGAAGTAAGCATGGGTGGGTCCATATTTGCAGAAATACCTTAAGGTATGGAAAAAAAATTGTAGGTTCAGGTTATTCCCATGATAACATAACTCTCTGCATGCTAATTCATAATAGTTAAAATTACAGTGCTTTCAATAAGACCTGGCAATTGCCATGTATACTTTGAAAGCTTTCAAGAAAACTAACAAAGTGAGACCTAAAACACCTTGAGATCTGCCAGAGTTCTCTCAGTTGACTTTTCCCTCTATAATTAAGTGTTGATGAAAAGGATTGATTTTGAGTTATCATATAATCCAGCATTCATTTCATGCAGTTCCAGGGAAAAAAAGATTTTGAGTTTCCAAGAACATACAGACTCAAATTTCAGTAACCAATAACCATATTGATAAGTCCTTTTACAGAACACTTGTGTGAAACTCAGGGAGTAGGTTATAATGTCAGCAAATGGAAGATTTCAACTAGAAATAAAATGATCAGTTAATCAATTGTTACAAGAGAGACATCATTTGCAAAAGTTTTGCACTCATTACTCCATTTGAAGCCATTTTATTCTGAACAGAACTAATAGGTCGATGAGAGGGATTATTTTTTTCATATTATTTTAAGAATTTGGTGTTGTAATTCTCCTCACATGTCAGCTTAATAGTATCTTCATAATAGAAGGAGAAAATAATGTTTTGATCACTCTTAGGTGAGAAAGAGTTAAACCTGAACAATAAAAGTTACTGCTGCAGTGGTAGTCACTGTCAGTGCTAATTTCTCATTTCCCTAAATAGTATGCAATTTCATTGCGGAATGTTGCTCACACAATAGACCAACCTGCATTTTTCCCTTCCCACTACACCCCTCCATACTCTGGATCATAATTTCCTTCACAAGCATTGTTTGAGATGTCAAACCATTTTTACCTTTCTTGTTAACCAAATTAATATAGTGTATTATAAAATTTCAACTAACCCTGGGCACTTTGACTGAAATATGGGCAGAGTCTGTTGAACAACCTCTTGTAAGAATACCACATCAGGTTTTTTACTGTTGATGACACTGCACACTGTTCGTGTTCTTTCCAAAATATTTCTCTCATCCAGGCCATCAACATTCCATGACAAAACAGTTAAGTTTTGATTAGTTTCTTCTGCAGTGGTTGCACTGTAAAGAATCAGTGTTTGGTATTAGGAACATCAGATTTATTTACATCAGGGCTTCAAGTACAACCTCTTACAATCAACCCTGAATTTCTTGAACTTAATAATGCTTTTAATGCCCTGAGATGGACTTGTATCAATGATCATGATGTTTTCTTGTGGATGTACCTTAAGGTTATAAGCAAATTTAAATTATTTTCCTTTTCTTTCCTGAAAAGCCATTGCAATCAGGCAACTGTCAGGAAGATATAAAAAATTGTGTATGCTAAAAATTAATTTTCAGGTCATGAATATTACATTTTTTTTGAAAAAAAAAGTGAATTCACATGTAGCACAAGTGCAAAGTTGTAGCAGTGACAAGTGAAAATTACAAATAGCACATGCACTCTTTCAAAATTTTGTCTGTCTTGACTTTCTGTCATGTTTTTTCATGTGCATCATTTTAAAACAAGAACATGATTTCTCCTGCAATTTAGTGTTAGTAAGCACTTATAAATTTTTCAGACTACAAATTACACATGCCCACAATTTTGCTGTCTTTGAAAAATGTGCATATTTACACAAAATTGCACTAAAAATCATGTTATTAGCTACACAGACATCTTGCAAGTTTGGATAATTCATTGTTTCATTTTACACTGCTCTATTGAAAAAATCTAAAACATGTTGGTAAGTCAAGAAGGAGTAAGGGCAAAAAATTACACAGTAAAAATAATGACAATAGACTATCATATAAAAAATATGGAAGTGAAGTTCTTGAAGCCAGACAGAAGAAAGAGTCTGGATGTTAGGTGACATAGACCTCTAGAAAGGTCTGTTACATGTACATGTTGTAAAGAAAAATTCTCCTCACCCTTTGAATGACCCATCTTCAGAAGGAGAAACATTGTCACCATCATCAGAAATCTGAAAAAAAAGGATGCATATGCAAGATTATTGGGGCTGTCTACAAGCTTAACAATACTGTCAGTAAAACTCATTTCCATCTTGATTGTCATGTTTGCCAAACTTGTACAGGAGAGTTCTGGACCTAGATTCACAAGCCTAACTGTGTCTCCTGAGCAGAAGATATCATCAGAAGACAAAGTCAATTATGGACTTTTTGGTGATAATCACTTGTGTTCAGTTTCTGATCTAAACCACAGTCAATGTCACTGACAACAAAATAAGCAAAACAAGTTAAGGAACTGATTCCTGTGAGTGGGCTGTAATAAAAATTGCAGAAGAGAAGTCTGAAAAGATTAATGCTCTTGATTGACACAATTTAAACCTGGCTTGCTGGTACCGTGCCTAAATATTTTTGACATTTTCCTTGGCTGAGAGACTGACCTCAAGATTTCACATTTGCCCTCTAAGCTTTGCTTCTCAGCCAAAGATTTACTTCTTAGACAATACCTCAGCAACGCACATTATCAAGCAACATACCAGCTGCCTGAAGAAGGTTAATTTATTAACCCTTTACACCCTAACATCAGTATGCAAATTCTCCATACTGTTCTCTATACATTTCCTAAGGCCCTGACAAGGAGAATTTGTTTAACAATCAAAAGCTTCTTTAGTTGGTGATCATTTCCTTTATTCTCATGATCTTAAATGAATGATTCAGCAGTATTATTGTAAGGAGAAACTAGAAGGTGGTCAGTCTTAGGGTTAAAAGGAGTAGTTACTCACTCTACTCACCATAATTGGGTTTCCCTTTCCACCATGCCTTCCTTTGCTGACATTAGAGTCCAAAAAAGCATTCACAGCGGACTGCAATATTCAGCAGAAAATTGTATGATAGTACATTACTTTATTCTAACCCAACACCCTAGTATCAGTATACAGATTCTTCATACTCTTCTCCATATTATTTTCTAAGATGCTGCCAAGGAGAATTTGATTAACAATCAAGAGCCTCTTTAGCTGGTAATCATTTCATTTTTTCTCATGACTTTAAAGTGCGATTTAAGGGTCATTGTAAGGGGAAATTAGAAGCAAATGCTCTAAGTGGTTACAGGGTTAATTATAAATAATTTTAAGTATTGATAATAATATTGCTTTGAAGGGTGATTATCAAGTACTTCACATGTACACTCTGAATTTGGCCAAGAATTACCAATTTATTGTTTCATATAAAAAGTTAATGAAACTCATAAACCTTTTTTTTTTTTAAGGCTATCTTGATGACAAGTGAGCCATTCAATATAATGCATATGGCTACCAGTAGTAAGTCAAATTTTGCCTGCACTAAAAAATGTAGTCTCTAACCAACAGATACAATTACCGACATTTAATTTAAGCCAGGCAATTAATATAACTGTCTCGATTTCACACATTTTCTTAAATATGTCTCAAGGAAAATTGTTCATTTTTTTAAAAATTCTCCTCCTTTCAAGTATTTAAAACCATTACTGGCAAGCCAAAGAGTAAATAGTAGTTCTACTGTTAGTGGAAATTGTGTTACATCTTGTGGTTCAATTCTTCCTGTTGTGGTTGGTTTAAAATTTTGAAAACAAATTAAATTTTTAACTCAAATCCCATTATTTTAGGTTCAAAAATAATAGACAAAATATAAAGAAAGCGAATCTTTTCATATGTCAAAATGAATTGAAAAACTGTAACCAGAAAAAAAAAAAACAATTAATTGCAGCACAGATAATTAACCAGCCAGAGACTTAGAGCACAGCCACAAAAATTTCAATAGGTTTAAATAAATCAAATGGGTTATTGCCATACTTTCAAAATATAGTAAGAGAGAACCAAATATAGAAAAACTTTTGTTGAACATTTTATTCTTTTAGCTGGGAAAAAAAAAAAAGAGAGAGAGAGAGACAAAAATAGAGAGACAAAAAAAAAAGGAAAAAAAATCCACATGTGAGTTTGATGAGTGCATTTTAGATCAAGCTCTCTCCATGATAACTCACAACATAAAAACCAACACCAGTAATGGATGATTAAAAACAATCACTGATGGTTAGGTTTGACCCAATAGCTAATGGAAGTCAAACAGGTAGTTTATCAAAGTTTAATGCATGATTGATAATGATAAAAACCAAATAATGAAATGATAATTTATAAATTATCTGAAAAGGATTGGTGGCCAAGGGAGGGGGGGGGGGGTGGTTGAAGTGCACTGAACGTCTAACTTGCGTGATTTTAGTTACTATATTTGTTCCAACGTATTGGAACAAAGTTCTGTTTTCCATTCCTGGGGAGGGAGGCAAGTTCATGTATCTGCCCCTGGGATGCATCCCTCCGGGAAAAAATTGGAAGGTATTGGGTCCAAAACGTTTTTCAGAGTTTGCAACCGATTTTCTGAAACTTTGTACGTTTGCTAAACTGGGTTTGATCAGTCAAGAATTGAGGACAAGATATGTATATTATTTCGCTGTTTGAATGACAACTTCGAGTTGACAAGACTGTGCAAAACCTGGAAAAATGTTGCGCTATACAGTACACCTACCTCTACATTCCAATTAGACTGTTGTAAATAGCGCATCGCCGTAACATCTTCAGCCCCAGTTACTGCCATGAACTCTTGCACCAAATCAGTGATATCGTCGCTGTCAGCCATGTCGTCAAGACTCGACTTGTGGACTGAGAGGATACTCGGTAGTGTTGTGCTTGTTAACGAAGTTGGTAATATATCGATAACGTAGCTCCTTACAAGTTGATTGGACAACGATGGATCGAAAGAAATCGGAGTATCTCCTCGTTTTCATCGACTAACTCCGGAAACTTATTCCGTTGAATACGCGCGCGCGAAACTGAGCAACCAGGCCTTTGCTATTTGACATTAATGCGCCTAGTGATTTTCCAATCAAGGAGCACTTATATTCGTACTGTTTTCCAAGTATGGTGGCTTTGCGATAGTGCGCTTATGTAAGAGATTTACAGAGAAGATGCTCAATAATCCTGCTGCAACGAGTGGATAGTCGTCGGATTTGCCTCAGGTGATAAACCTAGGGGAGTAAAATCATGGTTTTCTATTTAATGTAGGCGAATTTATACTGCGAATGGTACAGCTCTAAATTTATTAATTTGTTTTACACGTTTAGGTAAATTTAGGTAGACCCTAGTTTCGAATATCGCCATGTTTTCCTCGACATTCTAATCTCGTATCGCCAGGTGTAAAAGGTGATATTATTAATCTAAGTGGAATTTAACGATTCCCAGTTTGAAGGTCTCAGGGAGTAGCAATAATTTTAAAGACCTTGATGGAACCTGGAATCTACTTGGAATAGCTGTTACAAACCCTTGATCGGACATCAACTTTGGCTACTTTAGCATTATTTCTTTCTAAGTATTTTGTTGAATTTGTGTCTGTCGCGTTAGAAAATACAACTTTGCAAGCAACTCCCAGCTGACAGTAAATCGCAATTATTACGACCGTGTGGCCTTGGCGAATAACAACGCGCGCTAAAAACAGGCCGTGTTATTATTATTATCATTTTTATTATTACTATTATGACTATTATTACTATTTTTATTATTATTATTATTATCGTTACAATTGTTCTTGTTTTTTGTGATTTGATCTTTATTATTATCCTTAGAAATCTCATTTTTGTTACTTTCACACTTGTTAATAATTACCTATAGCGAGTCAAAGTTGGTTTCATTTTTTCGTGCAGTATTATCACTGGACATCGTATAAGAAAGCGAAATTTTAACTGTTTAGACACGGACTGAGCAATAATTGGTACAACTCCTCCCTCTCCTGTTCATTAAGCGGGAAGGTTGAAGGCTGGGTAACAAGGAAGCCATTTTGAGTCAACTTTAACGAGGTAAATAAACTGCGAACGGTTTGGCATTGATAAAATTCTCAGCGCGCGTTCAGTTTGTATAAAAACAGATAAAAAATGTTAATGTCGTCCTTTCGATTGCTAAAGAAATCACGGCAAATTACTCGATAAATCAAAATTTAAAGCTCATCATCAAATGGATTATCACCTAATTGCAATAGTAACGCGAAATTGAAAGTCATGGAGAACGATATATTTTCTAGAAAATTATTCAACGAAAACCATTTCCGCAGGTTTTGGCTCTCTAAGCGCGGCTGACAGTTTTAGTAATTCGAAGCGATAACCTTCCAATCGTGTTTACCAACAGCTAATAGCACTGATTTAGCAGTGGACACAAGTCATTCCCGAATATAACTGCATCGTTTCAGTAGAAAAATTCAGGTTGTCAAGATCACTGACAGTTTGACTTGTACTCGCATAAATTTTTCATGCTCTCGATTCACCTGAGAATAATTAGTCCTAGTCACAAGTCACACTTCGGCGACTTACTTGCGAAAACAAACATTCCAAGTAAAAAATCAAGTTGGAGCGCTTAAGCGTCTCAATCAGTGATGTTTCCTTTTGCTTTTTACTTTCAATAAACAGCTGTTTACTTCAATTGATAGCAGTATCTTTTTCTCAGGCCTCCGCTAACTCAATGCCCTTTCTCGGTTTGTGATCTGATCTTTAATTTTGTCCGTGATCCGAATCGAAACCAAACCGAGCGCGACCTGTTCTCCCCACATGACGTAATGCAATCCCCGCAAAAACACTGATCTTCGATTCAACAGTTGGACGGATGGTTTTACGCTTGTTAACCCCGGAAAAAAAATCTTGGCGGCAAATCTAGACGCAACAGTGGATCTGCAAATAAGAATTTCCAAAAAAAATTCTAGTCATTCTCGGCAAAGTGATTTTTGCACTTCGCTTAACTTGATGGTGATCGCTGAAAAGAAACGACCATGAAGAAATGCCGGCTGATTACCTTCGAACCATAAAATCTTTAACAACTTTAGCGCTTTGCCTCTTTAGTCTTCTGCAGATTACTGGTATGTATTTTCTGTATTTCTACGGAGACTGCCAGAGTATGATTTGAAGGTTTTAAACTTTGCTAACTGTAGTTTTTCATCACAGGTACCCGAACAAGTTTTGACTACTCCAAATCGACTTTCACTTGCGAAGGCGATGGAAAAGTGATAACATATGGCTTTTTATCGGCGAAATACCAAGTTTACAGACCCTCGCCTGCTTACACTCGTTTTCTAAGCTCCGTCACTAATTTCCATGGCTGTGTTAGGCGCTGTTGCCGTTTGAAATGGTGCAAGTATGCTTTGTTATCGCGCCGTGAGTGTTACCCGAGTTCCTGCAGTGAACGACTTTGCTTGTACCGGAAACTCCGGAATAATGATGCTTATTCAAGCCCTGGATACAAAGCAGGTTTTACAACTGCAGTACAAGGTATTCTTAAACTTGATCTGCACTTATCTTTATTTTGTTTTCACTGCACGGTTTTCATAAACCAGCGAATACGCGATACCCGATACCCTTGATCCACTGGCAGTGGTGTAATTATAACGGATTTAGCCAAGCATAATTTCAGCAAATAGGTCCCTAGCATGGCAGCGGGTGTTTAATTAACACAGGGTAGATTTTTGTCTCTACACGAGACATTTTTCTTAGCAAAATCGTGGCTACATTTTTCAATAAACGCATTTTTTGTTACAACTTTTCTCTTTTCGTAAGCGCACGAATGACAGAGCGAAAATGCCATTCATGATCTCAGCGTACAGGAATGAGAAAGCTACACACACTAAAATCTTTTGACATTTTATGTCTTTTTTCCTTAATAGCCCTTGTAATTTTAATTGTTGTGTTTATTTTATGTCTCTTTTTGATTCTTCCAACTGACCCTTCCTTTTTATCTAATTAGATACGGTCAAACTCAGTCAAAACTATATTTTTTTGATTGGAACCTTTTTTTTTTTTCTATGTTTTCGAACCGATGCCATCACTCGTCTTTACAATCACCACCAATTGTTTCATCATTTTATTTTAAAAAAAACGCTTTTTTTATTTGATTCACTCGTTTCATTTGTGACCATATTTTCGTCCAGACCATCACATTCTGTTCTGAATCCATTCCTCATCACTTTTATTTCACTTCAATGAAATCAACTTGTTTCTGCTAATTATTATACGAATCCATTAGTTTAGAGAAAGGAGAAAAAGCTAATCTTTTCTCATAGGGGAAAAATTTACTTTGAGCATGTCGCAGGAAGATTTTTTGTTTCGAGGCAGAGAGGTCGAGAGTTAATCTTGTTGTTTTTAAAAATCCATTTCTTCTGCTCGCGCGAGTTTTGAATAATTTTTTTTTCAAGATTTGCCCACGCTCGATCGGGTGCAAGTTCTCTGCTAATTTTAAGTCAAATCCATTTCCTGTAGCGTGGCCAGTGAACACAGAATCGCTTCGGTGAGGCTCGTAGCGTGAAATGAGTTTCCCTTCGTGCGTTTGACTGGGCATTTACGCGGCTGAATGCGTGAAAAGGGCTCTTTAGTGTATATCCGAACTTTTTATAAGCGGGAATTTCGATCACTTTTGATAAGCCACTGCCGATGGTGTAATGGGCAGCTGTGTCACAAGGTGAAACCCAAACACGACAGCCTGCTCGCTCCACCAGTGACCGGCTTTAACTAAAACTCCAGCATTAGCCAAACTAATGCGAATGAAGTTCTTCCCTGCTTTATCTTGAAAATTTTCAAGTCGAAATTACCGTGCCATCTATTAAGTTTAGTCATAGCTTCGAAAATAGTTGGTGCTTCATTAGTTCGGCTAAAAACCGCGAAGGCCCTTGGTAATAGGAAAGGAAGATTCCTCAGCAAGGCAAAACCAATTTATCAGTTCAAAATTAATTTAGGTGCCTCATTCTCCATAAATCTGTGCCTTTCGTTTCAGTTCGTACTTGATTTATAGCTTGTTAACTTATTTGGAAGCTTCTCAAGCCAAAAAAAAATTGTTCTATAAAGGAGTTTTAATTTTTCTCACAGATTTTACGCGACCCCCTCTCAGCGCTGACAATTGTAAGAGAAGTGCCATTATATTCAACGCTACATTAGTGAATGGTTATCAGTCTGGAAAATTCGTGGACCATGGAGACCTGGGCACGATCGCTGCATGCCAAGACATGTGCTGTCAATCACCTATGTGCGATGTGGCATTTTTGGCGGGAAAGCGGTGTTATTCTGTGTATTGCCACAGTGAATCTCAGTGTCTATGGACGCCATCTAAACACAACAAATACATGCTACAACTTTCTTACATCCACAGTGCCCACCGTATTTCAAACAGCGGTAAGTCTACTTTGATGCCATGCGCCGCGTATTGTACACGAGAATCGGAAACTCTATGAGTAATGAATTCCAGTGAAACAGGCATATCAGTTCTCCAAGAATTTTCAGTGTGAAGGAGTTTAAGAATAGTGTAGTCGACAAATAAGGAGCGCATTTTGGGGTATTGTTACTTCCCTAGGATGGGATGTTATACAGCAATGTCAGTATCTGACCAGCTGCGCACCTACCCCTCTCAAAACCAACACTTACTCTAATTTGTTGTCAGTTTGCTGTTGTTGAGTTAGGGGAGGGATAGGTGCACAGTTATCCAGATACTGACATTTATCCGATGTTATTCCCTTGCAAGTTGCCCCCTTTCCCCCGCCCCCCCCCTCCCTCACGTATTTCGTTCGGTTAGGTTTCCTTAACAGTCTGACACATGTCAATTATACTGTGGCTGGAAAAGCGTATGTTAAGAGTTTTCTTGGTTAAACCTTACAAATTTTTTTGTTGTTATTTAGGGCCGTCGCTGAAGGCGAGTCATCCCACAGAGGTCTCCCTGAGAGTGGAAGCAGATGCAAGACCTATCAAGAATGACAAGACTGAACGCGAACAAACAGCTGCCATTGC